CAGATTTGTGCTTTGTGTCTCCCAGTGTACTGAAGTCACTGCTGTAGCCATTGCTATAATTAGCTGCGTGGGTTGGATTTAAGATAGTCTGGCAGTACTTAACCATGTGCATATCCATTCAGACATGTTGTTAAAGTTTTCTGGTCCTTGCTAATAACCAATTATCAGCAGTGACAAAGGTGTTTTTTTTTTCTCTGGTGGCACAGAGTTTAGGGTTGTGGTTGTACAAACCTCAGCTTCAGCACAGCCTTATTTCACAGAGGGACAGAAACTAGAGAAGGGTAAAGCTTTTAGCGTACAACTGAGAGAAATTTTAGGAGGTAACTTTGTACCATGTCTGTTGTTGCTAGTTGCCCTACATCTTGCTCCCTTTACAGTGAAATATAATCCCCTAAAAGTAATTCTTCCTAGTTAACAGTAACTCCCTTTCTCTTAAGTTAGGAAGACGTAATTTTCCTTTAGCTAAAATGATGTCTCTCTTTTGTTTGGGCATGGGGTTTTTTGGGTAGGTTTTGGGAATAAATATATCAGTGATTCCAGAGTTTACATTGCCTATGGATCAGGTATTCTGCAGAACTTTGTAATTCTTCTCCTGGAACTGACAGTTGTCCTGTAGCCCTGTGTGCCAAGCAAGCTTGGTCAAGTGTGGAGCTCCCTGTCACTGTGTAGTGGGGCAGTTTGCCCTCTCCACTGGCTACTGAGAAAAGTGTGTATTTTGCTGGAGACTCCTGCCTGGAAAACCTCAAGGGCCGGTGAGGTTGCTCAGAGTCAAGGACTACGTGGGTTGGTTCTCAAGGGAAGAGGGAAATGGGATGGTAGGAAAAAAAAAAGTAGCTTTAACAGCCATGTAAACATGTTGTGGAAAGAACTTTGTTCCTTAGGGCCCAGTACTGCCCATCCCTGTTAAGCTTTTGAATACCAGAATGAGGTACTGGAGTGTGCTACCCACAAACTTCATTTGTGGGATGTAAGTCATTTGGTTTAACCCAGGTTATAATTTGAATAGATGATACATGCTGGACAGCACTTTTCCTTTGGTCCTCTGGCATCATCCAGGACAACCTGTGTTCAGTTCATTGAGACTTCCTTCTGTTTGTTACTGTCAAAGGAAAGAATTCATTGACTTTTAAAATTAACATTTTTTGAAGTTCAGAGGTCAAGTGATTGCTTCATCTTGGAATGCTTTTATGTCCAGGATCAAGAAGGAAGTAAGTAAATGAATGTCATGGTTTGAAAAAGCCCAAATCTAATTCTGATTCCTAGCCCCCCTCCCACAGTCTCAACCCCATGTGAGATGGGTTTTCCAGACAAAAGCACGAGACTCAATATGGGGGAAGGAATATATTACAAAGACTATACACATAAATAAATACTATAATACACTGCATACAATCTTAACTCTATATCTATCTCTACCATGACAGTAATATTTACAATGGGCCCAATCTCTTCTCCCTCCAAATAAAAGTCCAGGAGAGAAGAAGAAGAAAAGACCCCTTCCAGTCTGTCAGCAGCAGGCTCTCTCTAGGCAGCAGGCTCTCTTCTTCTCTTCCAAGCAGCAGTAGTAGTTGCTGGCTCTCTGCCAGCACACACGAGGGGGTCTCCAAGCCCCTCGGCCCTCCGTCCTCAAACGGGGGTCTTTCCGTGGACTACGTAACCCCAGACAAGGTCGTTCCACCACGGTCATATCACGAAGCACGGGGGTCTTCGTGACAGTCTGGTATCCTCAGGGGAAATCAAGCCCCTGTCACAGAGCTCCCATGCTCTGACTCAAAGATGGCTGCCAGCTTCTCTGAAGCTGGCAGCAAGGAGGGGGGGGGGAGGAAGCCCAAGGTCACCCCCTCCACACACATTCTTTTGGCCGTCCTGGCTTTAGCTCTCAGGACAGTCTGAGCTTCTTGCTCCTCTCTGTAGTGCATACTGCACTCCAAGACTCTTCCAAGTGAGTCCAGTCATCCTCCTCTCTCTCAGAGGAATCTCCAGGGAGTTTGGGGAGTTTTGGTTGTTTAGTTCTTACCCAAACTCTCTCTCTGTCTCTCTCCATCAGAGATCTCTGTGTCTTCCATGCAGCATACCGGCTTCTGCTGTTCCTGTGGTCCTTATCAGTTGGCTCTTTGCCACTGCTCTTCGGACGCTGCTGTGTCTACTGCTGCTCCGTCAGCTCCCAGCGTCTCCCAAGGCTGCCTACCGGGAGAAATTCTCCCAGCTCTTAGCCACAGGCACTCAGCCCAGTTCTGAGTCCCTGCAGCCCCCCAACCGGGGGCTGGGGGGGCAGAGCCCCCTAAGGGGCCGGAGCCCCAGCTCCTCGTGGCTCACCACAACATGGCCGCCTCTTCTTCTCACAACAAGTACCACTGCTTCTTTTCCGGTCTCCAGAGATATGTTTATATTTTGCAGGAGCACTGATTGGGTCAAGCCCCAAGGGTCACCACCCCCTCGGGGGTTACCACTTTTCCTAGTTTCAGGGGGAAAACCTGGCTCAAACCACTACAATGAGTTACATTTTTTTTTTTTTTTTGCTTACTCCGTGAAACAATTGAGTAAAAGACAGGTATAAGCCTATTGTGTTTTAGGAGATATAAAAAGGTCTAACTGAGTGGAATCAGCAGGAGAAAATACAAGTCAACGTGAGACAGCTGTGTACCCCGGCAGCCAAAAGGGGAAACCCCATCCTTAGGGGGTGCATCAAGCACAGCATTACCAGCCAATCAAGAAAGCCGATTATGACACTGCATTCAGTGTTGGTGTTGCCTCACCTGGAATACTGTGTGCAGTTATGGGCCCTACAGTTTAAGAAGGATGTGAAGGTTCTTGAATGTGTCCAGAGGAGGGCAGAAAAGTTGGTGACAGGGCTGGAAGGCATGTCCTGTCAGGAACAGCTACAGACTTTGGGTTTGTCTAGTTTGGCTGAGGGGCAACCTCATGGCTCGCTACAGCTTCCTGAGGACGGCAAGTGGAAAGGGAGGTGTGATCTCTTCTCCCTGCTATAGGAGACATAAAGATCTTGTCTCCCTATGCTATAGGAGACAAAGGAATGGTCGAAAGCTGCACCAGAGAAGGGTCAGACTGGACATTAGGAAACATTTCTTTACTGAGAGGGTGGTCAAGCACTGCAACAGGTTTCCTAGAGATATGGTTGATGTTTGAAACCTGTCAGTGTTTAAGAGGCTTTTGGACAATGCCCTTAATAACATGCTTTACTTTTGGTGAGCCTTAAGTGATCAAGCAGTTGGACTAGAGGATCATTGTAGCCCCCTTCTAACTGAAATGTTCTGCTCTGTTCTCTGCTAATCTAAAATACATTACATAATTAAAATAAAAGCTGTGGCACTAATGGCTTCATAATGTAATCATATCCGGGAGCTTAATAGCTCCTTTATTTGGATTCTAAAATATTTGAGGTCACATTATCTAAAATAGTCAAAGCAATAAGTAATATTAACCCCAATATATTGATATGTTGGTTACTTGTTCCCATGGTGACGTAATGCAGTGAGGTTAATTCTGGGTGCTCCTTTGCTTAAGGGTGGTAAATTCTGCGCATGGTTTTGAAAATTTTAGCCTTTGTCTGGACTGCAGAATTAATGGTAAATAATAACTCGAGTGGAGTAGGGGATTGAATGGGTTGTAACAGTGTGAATGTAAAGGAGAGTGTTCAGGTGGAGAACATGGACATCAGCCCCCACCAAACAGAGAAGTAATGTTGCTGTAGACTGGAGTTCATACTTTTACAGCCCTGCAAAAGGTATCAGATACCTTCCATCAACCATGGAAGGGAAGAAGGGGTGGAGTGGATGTACCTGGTGAAGAAGCTGAGAAGTTGTACCCATTAAAGAAGCAGCTTTCAGTTACAGTAGAGGTAATGGCTGGGCACAGACATGCTGCCATGCTGCTGGCTTTGTTTTGTAGAAGTGACACCACCAGGTAGGAGGTTACTTCTAGAGGGAATGGCCAGGATAAAGGCAGTTTTTTGCTGTTTTGCCTTCTGCAATATTGTGTAATTTAAAGTATTTTCCTTTCTTTATTCCTTTTAGAAAAGTTGTCAGTCTTGATAAAGATGACTACAGAAATTAGTTACCTACTAAACTGCTGAGGTGATTAGTAGAAAATATCCTAGGTTTCTCTTACATGTGATGGAGTTGCAGAATCAACTTCTTAGCAGAAGCAGAGGGCAGTGGTACCTGAGAGGGAAGTGGTTCTCAAGGACAACAGTGCCAAACCATATCCTCCTTGTTCAGGTAGCTCCCAGCTGGGACACTGTTGGTACCCTCAGAACATTATATAAGTGGAGCACTGCATTTTAGTTTTTCTGGACTGTTCTGCTCTGACTGGTTCTTTTAGGAGATTTGTGATGGCAGTGATTGTTAGGGAGTTGTTGAATCTGGTAGCTTCATGGTTGGAGGATAGTGTCTCTGACTAGGTTATTAGGGTGTCCCCCTGCTGGTGTGCCTCTGGGCTTGTGGTGATGGGTGTGTGATGGGCTGAGTGCTCCCTTGGCATGGGGATGGCTGTTACTTGGATTCCACGTCTGCTGTCTTTCCTTTGTGCTCCTTCGCATGTCTGTGGAGATGAGCTGCTTATCCTCTGATCTAATAGTGGCCAACTGTGGCCCTAAGAGGACTTGGGAGGAATAACTGAGAGGAATGGGATGTTCAGTGAAGTATAAGCACAGTATGTCAATACTGACTAATGCAGCAGTTGCTCCAGGCTATATATTTTTTAGATTCGTGTCCAGACAATGTTTGGCAGCAATTAGTGGGCCGATAAACGTGTTTATGCTGGCCAGCCAGTCACAGCCATTGTGTGTGTGTTGGCTGGATGCTCCATGTGCCCTGAGCTCCAGAGCTATATGAAGGGAATTCATTTGTCCAACAGGTATTATGGGCAGTGAAGTGGGGAGGAGCACTGCTCCTTTAAGATAATGTTGATGTTTTGGTAAGTTTCTGTTAATGAATCTTACAGATTTCTGACGGTGTGATATTTCTTCTTTTTTTATTCAGATTCCTTTGGGACTCTTGTTCTTCCAGTAGTAAGTATTTCTTTCCCCTTCCTTCTTCCTCAGAAAATGTTGACTCTCTGTAAATTACCATCAGTTGGTGTTGATGAGATGATATATTTTGCATGTGATCCCAGCTATTTTCACAGTCTCAGATGAGTGTATTTACTGACCAATAAGCGAAGGAGTTTTCAGATCAAATGCTCTGCTGCTTGTTAGAATTAATTATAGGATCTAGGAGCTGATTTCCAGTATCAACACGAACTATCATAAAACTTGAACATGGACATTTGCTTTGTGGCTGATACCTACATCTATATTTTAGACACACCATGAGCTGAAAGAATTGTGCAAAGTAATAACTGAGAAAGACTAAAATAAAAATATTTATATGCAGTCTTTTTAAGGATTTGGAAATGCACATTCAAGGAAAAGTACATAATAAGCAACGAAATTGTATCTTGAATTGTGAGTCATGTATGAATCCCAAATTTATAATCCTGGATGTTCACCTTGAAAACCCAATCTAGAGAACTGGGTACTTATATTAGAAAAAAAGTTTTGCCAAAGTCATCCATAAGTCTGAGTAACCCTAAATCCAGTGGGTTTAAATTCTGATCTCAAATAAACTGCGGGTCTGATTAAATAATCTGGAAATATTTGATAGATGGATAATCAATGACAGTGAGCAGCTCAACATTATGAAGATTACTAGGTTGAAATACATCTGTATGAACTATACTTTAGCAAACATAGAAAAATGTGTTCATAGAAAAAGAGAAAAAAAATGAAATTAACAGGTTCCTTAATCAAATCTGGCCAGATCTTAAAAGTGTTCAAGAACCTAAAATTAGGCAGGGTAGATTCCTCCCTCTTTCGCCGCTATCTGAAGTGTCTAATTTTTTAATAGCAAGATTTTTTTTCGTTTGTGTAGCCACAGTAGACTTATGTTTTGTCCAAAGTGTAATTTGCTAGCAGAAGGTGGGTAATGAGTTTTTGGATTCAGCCTCATCTTTTCCAGAGGAAACAGTAGCTGCCTTGTTTGAGGTGTTCGTGATGGTGGCTGGTGTAGTCAGAAGTACGTGAGATGGCCCTTTTCTTTCTTGTGTTAGGAGTGCCAAAAGGGGGATAGTAATACCATTCATTTGGTGATGTTTTGACTAAGATAAAATATTTTCACAGCAAGTTTCTACTATTTAGTGTTAAAAGCTGCCTTGATCATATTCGGGTTGAGAAACAACCCTTTAGAGAAGGGTTGGTAGGGCTGAGGTAGTTACTATTGTTGTAGCAATGACCTTCTGAAAGAGTCATATTAGTGCAGTTTCTGTTAGCATAGATGTGTGAAGCAGAAGGTGGGTTACATTGCAACTCAGCTGTCCTGATACATTGCCATGGCAATGTAAACTTCATTGTCTCTGACCGTTACATTAAGAAAGGTACAACAGGCAATTTTGTTACCATATTATGGGAAGGAAAGATCTTTTGAAATATAAAAAGTAAAAAATCTAGGGAGCAACCCATGCTATCTATCATTATTCATGATAGGAAAGAGGTACAGGAAAATATGAGGTCTCTAGATGGCATTTACAGACTTTTAAAGAAGTCAAAACCAGTACTTGCAAGCATGTTAAAATAATGCTGTAAGAGCACAATTTACTGCTATGATGAGCCAAAGCAAGCTTATTTTCTCCCATTTTGATTTTGAATGGTTATTATGTGTCCTGGACTTCTTGTGGGGAATTCTGTCTGCTTTTTTGGGAATACAGCTTCTTTAATAAATAGCAATGTTCATAAATACATTAGTTTTGAGATAATATTTGACAGATGCAGTAGGTAAGGCTGTTCCTCCTGTTTAAGATATTGCAGAATACTTGGCCTGGAATTTGGAGTGTGTTGAAATATGTGAATCATATGTTCTTGGCAATGTGTGCACAAAAAACCTGCAGCTGAAGAAAATGCAGGATCTATTTCGGTGTGGGACTTTGCACATAAAATTTAGTTACATAAGTCCAGATTTTAAAGGGGGAATATCTTCTTCCTGTGTCATCACGTGCCTGTTCATGGGTAAAACCAGCCTGTTTATTTTTCCCCTTCCTGATTTTTTTCCTGGCTTGTTTTTAAAAACAGAAAGTCAACAGAAGGAGATTGATTCCTCTTTATAGGTAAACACAAAGAGAAGAAAATGTATTTGATACAGATGTTTGCATCTACCTCATTTGGCACCCTGTGACATTTTCCCTTGTTTGTGAATACCTGTTACCTCACTGTGTGGTGTTAAAACAAGCTTTGACAGCATCACAGCTTTTCTTTTTAGGACTTGATAGAATTCTTCTGATGTGTTGTACCTGGTGAGTTTACAGCTGTAATTTTCATTACACTGCAGGAGCAGTGCTTCAGTTCCATATGTTATGCTAAAAAATGCAAGCCTGTCTGCTTTAGTTGTGTTAACTCCAGAGGTTTTACTTCAGATTTACCTTGTAATTCCAAGTAGAAGCATGTGACTCTTTAAGCTTTTCAGCAGGGCTGCTTCTTGGAATGAGCTGTGTGCTGTGTTAAAACCGTTTTCCTTCTTCAAAGAGACACTCTGGCAGTACAGAAGCCAGCATCTGGTCTGGAATGTCCCTGGGGTCATTGGTTGTCTGTGAAGACTCTGCTCAGATGAAATTCCTGTGTGCTGCAGCATCTCTGCTTCCAGTCTTTCAATCCCTGTGACTGGGATTCCTCTCAGCTAACTTCAGGATGTGAAGTTATGCACCTGAATTACAAGCTCTAGATTTCCTCTATCCACTGGAAAGACACAGAGAGGGAGAAACCTGTACATGATTACTCGAATCTTACATGGTATAAATTTCTTTGCCAGTGATATCTGTCTCTTTTCTGCCAGCACTGAAGGAACCTTGAGTGTCTATCCCAAATAAGTTAACCATATAAAATGACTCTTCCTTTATTTCTTAATATTTTGGGAAGAATAATTATTTTTCTTTCTAGATGAGTCACGGTGTGTACTGTAATTTTGAAACATTAAACTGAAATGAGACAAAATCAGTGATGTTTGTATTGAAAAGCAGTACCTCACCTCATAAGATACTCTGTATTTGAGTTTCCTACCCCATAGAACATAAAGCTAAAGGTTGTAAAAAAAGAAGTGCAAGGTTCTCTTACTGTCCTGCTCATTTTGCTCACACATACCTTCTTCAGATCTTTTATTTTTAGAAAATTTGTTACAAAAAAGTGATGAAGTCAGAAAAATATTAGCCCCTTATATCAAATCCAAGAAATTTCTAAATAACTGTGAAAAGAAAGAGCACAATGTGTGTGTGTGTGAGTCTATGAATTGTATGCGAATACATGGATACTTACATTGTTGAAAACCTGATTACTACTGAAAATTAGATGCAAATCTGTTTACAAGATGCCTCTGATGACACATTTTCAGGTAATTATTGAAATAACACTTTAAAGTCCTGAAAAAAATCCCCTTTCACTTTTTGAGAATTTACATAAGTTGACAAGTTCAGGTATGTATTAGATCTTTATATCAAATGTTTTTTAAATAATAATATCTTCAAGAATATTTTTGATGGTTAACATAGAGTCACTGTTTTATTTTAAGCTGCCTTTGAACAGTGCTTCTGGGAATTATGAATTACTGGTGGAAGGCCGTGCTGATGGCCGGCACATCTTCTCTAACCGTACCAGCTTGATGTACATGTCAAAGAGCATCTCCGTATTCATCCAGACTGATAAATCTATGTACAAACCAGGACAAAATGTGCTGTTTCGGATTGTTACTGTGTATCCTGATCTAAAACCTTACAAAGTACCTCTAAATATATTTATCCGAGTAAGTATCCACAGGAATACAGTTATAAATTGGACTGTGTCATATGTTCCAAATTTATGTGACAAATAAAGATCATATTTACTGCTACCTAAATCTTGCTAGCAGGACCACTTGCATTTAACACGTAGCTTGACTTTTATCCTAGGACCCTCGGAAGAAGTTGATTCAGCAGTGGTTGATGGAGGAAGGTGATTTGGGTGTACTTTCCAAAAAATTTCAGTTATCAATGAACCCTCCCCTAGGAGACTGGTCCATAGAGGTGGAAGTGAACGTGAGTATTAACATTGCCAAGTCACAGAGAGATTTATTTCTTTTGGTAGATGTAAATAAAATTGTGTTTACTTTGCTGAAACCAGTTACTAACATGGACCATGAAATGCACAAATCCTTCCCTTATGACAAATATTATGCAAGATTTTATGCAAAGATATTTTGCAAACCTCACAATATTTTCATTAGTATATGGTTTTGTAAGGAAGGATACAAAAATCCCCAAACATGTTTTATCCCAAAGTCTGTGTTTTGATTCTAAAATAGAAATGGTATTAAAAATGTGAGGAGGTTTTAATATTAACATGCAAGAAAGACCTTATGGAGAACTGTGTTAGGAGTTTTTTGGGGGGTTGTATTTTTTTTTTACCGAAATGCTCTTACGTTTATTTTGCAAGCAAATACACAGAAATTCAGGGGTGTTTCATCAATTTGCAATGACTAATGAGTTACTGAGGAAAAATAACTATGTAAAATAGAAAGGATGGCTAGTAATGCACAACTATTCCAGTAAAAAAAACTGGAACAATCTGCGTTGCATGTTGCTATTGGTAGTAGTTCTCTCAGTTCAGTCCTTTAAGCTGTACACTCCTCATAGACCATGGAAAATGTTGCAAAAATAGCTGGAGATTTAGCTGCTCAAAACTCTGTGTGTCAGGTTTATTCAGTCTGCTTTTGAATGCTGTAATTTGGGCACTGCATTTCTGACTTGGCTTGCAGTGGCTGTTCAGGGACATTTAGCGAGTACAAACAGGACTACTTAATGTTCCATGATGAGGGAGATGATGGGGTAGAAAGCAGAAAAACTCATGTGATCATTTATTATGTGGGAGTAATATTTATCAGTACCGGTTGTATACTTGATAGATTTCTATAGGCTGAGGTATGTGAGGGTGGTGCTCAAGTGAGTGTCAGGACTGGATTTTTCAAAAGTGTTCTCATGTGGGTGTGGAGTTGTTACTGTTGTCTGTGATGGGAAAAATGTATTAAGTTGTTCCTGCCCTAATCTGTGTACTCTGCCACCCCTTCTCATCCCCAGACTGTTCAGTAGCTTCTCAGTCACGCTGAGGCAGCTGTAGTCAGGATGGGATCTAAAGTGTGATGGGGAAGTGACCACATTGAAAAGCATCTGTGTGTTTTTCTTTGCCTAGACCAGACGGGTTCCCTGCTCTGGTTGACATCCATCCCCACTCACAGCTACATAGGTGCTTTTCAGCTGGTGGGGAAGTGTGGCTCAGACATGGGAACAAAGGCTGGTGACAGTGGTGGGCTACTTGCCAGGTGAAAGAGTGTTTATGAAATGTTGCTTGGGCTTTCTGCAAAGGCTTGAGTAATACTGAAGTCAGGAGATCATTGATGAAGGAACTGCAGCAGCTGTTTTCAGGATCTGAATGAGTGCCGCTCCCTCCTGAAACAAAATCAGAAAGAAAAAAATGAAGTAGTAAAGTTAAAAGAAAAATGCCTTATAGATTCAACTCGGCTGGTGAAACAGCTGTGAGAAAAGACAAATGAAGTGAAATCTTAATAGACAGTAGTTGATGGTATTCTAAATCTTAGCTATTTAGTACTATTACAGAGGTTAATGATCCTGGAAAACATATGTCAGGGTGGAAATGTCTCTCAAGTCATGAGGAAGAAGGAGAGAGTAAATAGGGAACATTTTGTTCACAGTCTCTTTCAACACATAGCTCAAGGGCATCAGGTAAAGGAGGTAAAGAGCAATTTCAAAATAACTAAAACAGCATAACTGAACTGCAGAACACAGTGGGTATTGTAAATACTGAGAATTCAAGTGAGATTGAAAAATATCTGGACACATTCATAGTATACTCCATTGAGAACTGATAACTAGAAACCCCTGAGATGTCAGGTCAAGATAGAGTGTCACTGCTGGTTATCTTGATTGATGCAGTTGCTTAGGTGTTGAACCTTGCTGCAAAAGACTGGACATTGGCTCTCATATTAGCTCTATCAGGCTACAACCTTTCCTAGGTTGTCTGTATCATATTTTCATCTATTTTTTCCTACTATTAAATTTTTAAAATTTAGGGTTTTAACATAAGAGTTTTGGGGTACTTAATAGAGCTCTACATGCTTCAAAAACATGAAGAATATCCAGGGTCATGGATAATGCTCATGACTCTAGGATATCTTTCTCTGTTCACCACTGTTATAGAAGACAATTCAAGGTGAGAAGTCCTGCAAAGTGGTTTTGGTACATATATTAAAGTGGTCTTTTGGGAAAAGACAATCTTGGGCAGAACAGAAGTGGAATTCTTTTTTTTTCATTGGCAGAGGAAATATTTGATACTTAAGAAACACTGTGTTTAATAAGTGGGGGAAAAAAGGGAACTAGCAGATAGCTATCAATATAAATGAAAGTCTGAACTCTTGCATGTATGTAGAAAATGTAAAGATCCCAAGGAAAATGTAATGGTTAATAATGAAAGTATGAAAGAGTTTTTAAAGCTTGCTAGAAACAAAAGAAATTCCAGCAGTGGCATAGCCCGGTAACATGAGGAAACAGTAACTGTGTGGCAAAGGGAAAAACTTTTAATAGGGATGATGGCTCTTAGTAGTTAGGTGAATCTCACTGTGGGCAGTTTTGAAAAGACCATCAGAGGATGAACATTCTTAACACAAAAGAGTGAGGTAACATGGGAAACTGTAGACTTGTCATCTGGTATGAGAAAACCAATAACAAAGGTGATTTGGGATTCCATTGATTAAAATTACATTATTTAAGGCTAGTATGGAATTGGTTAATAAGGTAGATTTAATGACGTAACAGATTTCTGAAAAGGCTTTTCACTGTACAAAGTCGTAATGAAAAACAGTGGTGTGTATACAGTCTGTCAAAGAAGGATGGATTGATTTTTGTGGAATTGACAATCACCCAAGGTGTTTCTAATATAAACTGATGACAGAGTTTGCATGTGGAGCCAGGGAAGACAGCTCTGTGGTAGGAGAGACTGCAGAAGTTCGCTCTGTTGACTGTATATCAGAGGATCAAATGAATCAACGGATTTATTGATTACAGTCTGAGAGTACTGTTACAGGTTTTAAAGGCTTTCTAATCTAGTGGAGAAAGGCATAATATGAACCAACTAATAGAAATTGAAACCAGACAATTCTCTTTGGCACATATATGTCTTTCATCGATAAAGCTCTTAATCACTGGAACAAACGAAAAAGTGGGAGTGAGCGTTTTTGGGTTACTTGATGGTTGCCTTTGTGTAAGATGCATTTTAAATGCAGATTGCTGGAGTAGCTGAATACAAAGGAACAAAACCTGGGCTAAAAGAAGATCAGGCTAAATGGTTCCTTTAGACACCAAACTCTTTGAATTGAAAATTAAAATAGAGAAGAAAAAGAAGAGTATATTATAATAAAAAAAAAGAAAAAGAAATTTTAGGCTTTGGGGTACAGAAAAATGTGGCTATTCTTACAGTGCTTATCCTTTGAGAATAAAGCAGCAACTCCAAGCCCCACACATAGATAGTCATGTTTACTTTCAGACCATTTTTGTTCACACCTTCTTCTTTAATTTTCAAATTCAATGTTGGATATAATGACAAAGCAATATGCATTATTTCTGTAGCATGTGCCTACACAGTATCTTAAACTGGATAAGGCTGTCATATGCAAAATATATTAAGTGACTATTTCAATATTCACACTATTACATTAGGTCTGCCTACTGTGTTCTCTCACAGACTGTTCTTTTTCTGATAGCACATCAACCGTTGAATTAACGAAACCTGAAAGAAACCTTGCAGAATAAAGGAAAAGAACTTTTCTAATGGGAAAGTCTACTTGGTTCTCTTGGTTACTATGCCCTGAAATACAAGATCATATGGGATGGGATTCAGTTTGAGGTGTGGATGTCTCTATGGTGGTGATGTGGTGAAGATTTTTGATGTTTAGTGAAAGCTAGTGTGTGACTTGATCACTCCTAGTGGATATTCCTGGCTATTGTCTGGATATTCCTTGCTGTTCTGCAGCAATTTGGCTGTCAGAGGAAGGCACAGTTTTCTGCAGTGTTATATATAAAGTTGCATCATATATATATATATGTATATATTCACCAATTTCTTTCTGATAGCAGAGGTCACTGAGAAATTGGATTTACTGCTAAGGAATACTTAGTACGTGTCTGGAGTTTTTAATAGATTGTCTACCTATCTGTAACTAGTACTGCTAGCTCTGAGTCTGCATGGCCCTCAGTGCAGTTTATGGATATATTCAGGGCTTTAGAAACATCTTCAGAGGGCAAACACAGACTGATCTCTGCATGACTTATTATCTTGATGCCATGACCTGAACTTTCTGGTTAAATAGCCAGCTGTCCAGCCTTTCTTTCTCAGGTTTCTCTCTTATCTTTTAAGAGTGTTGTTAGGTGAGTAACATTTCCCTTCTAGTGGTTACACATCAGTTTCCAAGTGTACTGAGTTTTGATTCTTGGAAGTGTTGCCTCTGAATCCTGTTTTAAATCAGGTTTTGGCTGCTTGCTGCTGTTAAACATCCTGTAGTACTTTTTTTTTCAATAAGGGTTCAGGTGGTAGTACAGCTGTTCCAGGAAAACTCGAGACAAGAGTAATTACAGTCTGGTTCCCAAGTCTCCACCTTGTATTTTAGTTGGACATCTTATATTTCCTGTTACGGAGCCTTTCTCTGAAAGGCTTTTAGTTGCTGGGTTTTAGTAGCATGCATCTCCAACCAGAAGTTGTTGCTAGTTATATGGCATTTTGTAATCTAATTTATGGAAGTTGTTATTTATAAATTTATGATCAAATATTGAAGAGTAGTAATGTTTCAGGTGCAATGAGGGCTTTCTAAAGTATTTTAAGAGTTAATTGTTTTTAAAGCTTCAGCTATTAAGCAACATTCAAAATCAACTGGGAATGATTATATACTTTATACTTTTAAATGTTTTGACTTTTGAGGTTTTATGTCTGTTACAGTGTATCCACTATGAATTCTGTTATGTTTTACTGATAGGTCAGTAACAGATTTCACATTTGATCCATCAAGTTTGATGTTCTGTATAGAATTGCTTAAAAAAAGTGTCACCTTCCTTCAAAATCAGACTGTACGTAAAACCTTTGGCATTGGCTGTGGTGTATTCAGTAGTTTGCAAATGCACACTGATTCAATCAGGATCTGATAGTGTGAATATTCGTGACACTGGAGACTGTGATGTTGAATTTGAACAGAATTTTATTTTGGGGTTTGTTTCCTACATTTGAAAATAAAACATGGAAGTGGTCACAAAATGCTTCTGTTACTTCTGTCTAGACAAAAATCTGTTTTATTTAGCTGCAAAGCCAGAGTGAAGGAGTGCTCCTGACATGGCCTGTGAGATGATGGGGTAGCCTCTGGAATGCAGCTGGTGCCAGCACTAATCTTTTCCAGGGCCCTTGGACCACACCCAGAGTCTTTCCCGATGCTCTAACTTGTGATGCACCTCAATATCAGACACCAATAAGGAAACGGACCCAGGACAGATTCATTTCAGGGACTTTTGATTGCCAAAGAAGAAAAAATCTGCAGGGAACGGTTCCTGTGACCTCACTTGTTAGATCAGACCCCAATCACTTAAAACAGGACTAGTTTATCACAGCAGAGCAAAATCTGGACTGTAGTTGTTAAGGATTCTTAGATGTCAGGATCCACAGCACCTAGGGCTCAACTGCAGAAAGGCTCCATCATCCTCACTATCCCAGAATACTTACATGGATCTCTTTTTGGTACTATTTTCTTACTCTGGCTAATGGCCACAGAATGCAATAGGTGTTTTGCAGTTTAAGAAATGATGATTTAGCGCAAAATGTTATTAGTCTGTAAGAGTGAGTATGTTTAAAAAGCAAGAGAAGACATGGAAGACAAAAACCTGTACTAGAATAAAGCAGCTCTGGAAACAAGTGGAATAGCCATAGTGGTGTTTTTCTATCTTAAAAAAACCTGCTTAAAATCTCTTTTGAGTGGTATATAAAACTAACTGCTTGCCTCAAAAACCACTATTCTTGGAAACTGGTTTAGCAACTTCCCATTCAATATATTTGAACAATATTTGCCAGAGAGACAGCCCTGCCCTGATGAACTAAAGTGATAAAGTGGTTGAAATGATGTTACTTGTCCTGCTGAAAAGTGTGTTAGTGGCTTGGTATTCAGATCATCAGGATGACTAGTAGGGTCTTTTCCTTTCCCTGAACTGTGAAGCACGATTTCTGTCACAAAGCTTGTCATTTTAGAGCAGGTACAGCTAGGAGTGCTAGTCTCACCGTAATCTCTGTTTTCTACTACTTAAGAATTCTCCTAGTTTTTAGTTGTTTGTTTGTTGTTGTTTTACTTTAAGATAATGTGAAAAAAAATTTCGTTTTCAAGGGAGATGCTTTTTCATCCTGCCCTCTAAGGTAATGTTCTGGTCATTGCTTAATTGGTAAGGGTGACCTACATACTTAACATTGGAAATAAAAGATATACAGAGAACGGGATGTGAGATAAATTTGCTACAGGTCATTTTCCTAAGATACATGTTCCTAAGACTACCTTATAGTAATCTGATTGTGGACTGCATGTCAATGCTGTAGCATTTCTAAGTGTTGTGATTTGCACAAATATTGTGAAAATAGCAGATTCTGCATATATATTTTCAAACCTAGGAATTTAATATGGCACTTTTTTTGGTGATCAGTGACTTAATCATGGAATTGGCAGCAATCTGATTTTTACTTTGATAGGAGTATTTTGGTAGGAAAAATGTAAATAGAGATGTATAAATGGCTTGGTCTGAAACGCTAAAAAATTAAGAAAATTGCTAAAAATTAAGCAGTTTGGAAAGTCATTGATCAGGTTTCCAGCTAAGGTCCTGGTCCTACTGTTTTTAGCACAGGAGCTATCAGTTAATCCTCTCTTACCACAGACACTTGTTCCTGTCTGACATATCTTGATGCCACCTGAAAATTGGTTATTCCCTTCTGAGGAAAATCAGGAAATAAGTGAAAAAAAAAAGAAAAGCAGGAGAATGGAACGCAATAACAATGTATTATATAGTTTTTTGGTTTTTTTTCCCATTGATTTTAACTAACAAATAAATAAGACAGGAGGATACAACACAAAATATCTCCACTGAAGTAAGTATGAGTGTACACTGTAGCTGCATTTTATCTGTCTTTTGAGTAAATGTGGAACTATAAGATTAACATGCTTTTGAAATGGTCTTGCCCACTAGATACGCACTGTAGGAGCTTCTCATTTGTAGAAGTTATTTTTAAATGAGCTAGTAAAGATACTGCTGGTAGGTCGGTCATGGTTTATCCTGATGACTGTGACTGCTTATGCTAGATAGTTTTATGTTAGCTGGCTCAAGTATTCTGGCTTTTTATACAGAAACCAGCCATATGTAGATGTCTGCAGATTGAAAACTCCACAAGCTTTTCATTTTATATACTTGCAATCTGGTTCATGTGAAGTTCTGTGTCCTTCTCTTGTGCAAATACATACTACTGGTTGCTACAGGGGCTGATAGTGGTTGAACCATGATTTAAAATCTCACCAAGTCAGAAATTGTAGTTTAACTTGAATATGGGTGGGATTTGGCCAAGAAGGTATATTAAACTTACTAATCTAATTATAATTTTCTCATATGAATTTTTTCAATAGGGTCAAGTTCATTATCAAAGATTTAAAGTGATGGAATATGGTAAGTGTTATTTAAGGGCATTTAGTAGTGACCAAAATTGTTAGTGATTCTCCATTAATTTATGCTAGCTTAACTTGGCTAGCAGGAACCCTTTGCTCACAGAAAGTTTAATTTCCAAATGTCTTGCTTTTCTGAGACTGACAAAATAATGCTGTCTTATCAACTCCCTGTTTATATTTGATAGTTTTAATGACCTTCTACTGTAGGGTCTGGATGTCATGCAGTCTTAAAAATGCTTATCTTAAGCCTGTGGGATGCAGTTATTGTCCATGTTTTTGCAGGATCCTGCAGGCAATGTGTTCATCCCAAAATATCTGTATAGTATCTGACTGTGGAGCTTGCTGATGATTCCGTAAAGACTGAGTAAACTAAAAGTTTTGTATTTCAGTCTTACAAGCTTATATGCAGGTGGTTTTTACGATGCTTGTTCTCTTTTTAACAAAAAGTCTTAGTCTGGGGCATGCATAGGGTTGGGTTAAAAATATAACTTACCTTATACTCCTTAGGAAACTATAGTAGTAGTCTTTATCGAATTACATGTTCTACCCTTATTACTTAAAAAAACTAATATTCCGTCTATGAATTTAACATGTTTTGTAATTTTTTTTTTTAGTTTTACCAAAATTTGATGTCATGATAACAACACCATTATACTACTCTCTGAGAGATGAAGATGTAACTGGTGTTGTCACTGCCAAGTAAGTAAATCATCGATACTGTTGTAACGCTTACTCTAAGAAAATTATTGTGGGTCTCTAAGTGTCAAAGCAACAGCTTATATTTAGAATGCTAAAAAAGCCCCATCTACTCAAAACTAGTTGGCTAACATCCTACTGGATTTTGTTGTGTAACAAGGTTCGATAGATCTTCAGACTTTTAGTAAGTTCTGGTCTGGTAAACATACTTCTAGACTATAGCCTATACATTTGCAGCTACTTTATTTGAATTTTTTTTTAAGTTTTCTGATTATAATGTATATTTTGAGGCTTTTTTCTTTTGTCCTTATGGTTCTTTTATGGTCTCTCCAACTTACAATGTCAAGGTCTGTAGGTAGAGTAACTATATTTTATTGGACTACTTGGAAAATTAGGCAAACTTCTATGAACATCCTTCTTGATCCAATATATCAACGTTGTGGTATAGGTTATATATATGTCAAGTATAGGTTTCTCCCACCTATCAAAATACTAATACCTGTAAATGGGTGAAGAATTAAAAGCTCTTGAGAAATTCAGGAGAGGATTCAGTGAAGACTATTGTATAAATAATGTTTTATTTTTCATTTGAGCGAATATCTAGTCAAAAATTTAGTATGCAATAATCTCAAATAGAAATTAGTTTTATTTTTGGAAGATGAGAACCAGATGGAGGTACCTGACAGATCCACCCAAGAAGACTGGAAATAAAGGTCTTTCATGGGTTATTTAATGCCACAGAATATGTACCTTCTAAACAAGCACTCCACTGATAAATGAAATGCAGAAATGATTGTTTAACAAGCTATTTAAATTAAAGGTTTGAACTTCAAGAAAAAACTTCCACCCCTAGAGCCAATACCACCTGATATTATAAACCATCTGATAAAACAAACTATAAAGGCTGGATTGACAAGGGGCCCTGAGCAACCTGATCTAGTGGGTGGCATCCTTGCCCATGGCGAGGGGGGTTGGAACTATATGACCTTTAAGGGCCCTTCTATCCGAAAGTGCTCTATGATTCTATGAATCAAATAAGGGGCAATTTTTTAAAATAGGTTTTCCTCTTTTTTTTTCCCATTCTCCTTTGCTTTTGGAATCCATTATATGCCAGTATGTATTTGGTTTCCTAAGTTGTTTTTGTCTTTCACAGGGTACATGGCTCCTTCATTTGGTATACTCATAAGGGAGATGAAAGTGTACCTGTTTGCTGCAATAAATTTGTACTTAGATGTCAGTAAGTCAATCTCATCTGAGATTGAGTCCAAGCAGTGACAAAGTTTTACTGATACATTATATTTATTTATAGAGAATGACTTCATTCCTGGCGGCTGTTTTTATAGGCATAATACCTCTTTATACGAAGAGCTTATATGCTCCTCACACCTGTAGATGTCATGTAACCCTTTTCCTTTTTCATCTCTGGAGTATTATTAGATTAGTTCAGTGATGCTGTCCAAGGGCAGTATCATTTCAAGGTTAAAGGGAGCTTATTATTGTAATTAGGTCTGCTTGGAAAGACTGTGTTCAGATACAAGACAGTGTTGTCAAGAGTTGTTCCTGTAACTACACTGTTTCATTTTTCTTTCCCTCTGCTTTTCAGCTTTGATATTACTTAAGTGACGCATAATGATTTAAAGTACTTTAAAGTTATCACATCTGAATGTGTTACTGCTGAGGACTAGAATGATTTTAGGTATCCCGTCTGTCCCATGTTGTCCTTCCTCACCCCCTACCCTGCTTCTCTGTCTCAATCTGGTAATGTCACAGTGTGTCTTACAACTTCGAAATGTTTATACAAAATTTTTATTTTATTGCTGCTCAGTAGTGCAGGTTGCTAATGTCATCCTAAAAAGTGAATATGTTACAGTTTTCAGATTTGCCACACCTGGAAATGATGTTTGTTATGTAATAATGCCATGATTTCTTGGGAGAGTGGTTACTAAATAATTTGAGTACAAGTATCTTGAGATATCTCATTTTGTGTTAGCAGTGCTTAGTAAGCAAAACACTTGCACTTACCACATCCCATTTTAACTCTGCTGTATATTAATTATGATGCTACATCAGTGTTCTATTCAAAAACTTACTTCCAGTTAATATAGTTAATTTTTCTACATTGTATAGCCCATAGTAATTGTAATAGGTTTATAGAGCTTGTGTGCAGGAAAGAGTAGCACTGTGTATCTTCTCCAGGTTTTGGACTTCCAGCTTTAGTGTTGATAAACTGGTCTCAGTATTGCAAACCCATGTTTCAAAGTAGAAATGTGTTCTAGCCATGTCTGAGACCAGGGAAAATTATTTTGGTAGAATCTTTTGCTTTGAGAGCTCTTCAGGTGTATTGTTTCTCTTTGACTGGTGTGTTTCAGGTACACATATGGAAAGCCAGTAAAAGGAACTGTAACAGTCACATGCCTTTCTGTCTCTTACTGGACAAACAAAAGAAATATAACAACAACAATGGAGGTGAGTTGTCTCTTAGCAGTTTCTTTAAGCCTGTGTTCTTTTGTGGGTTAAATAATGCCTGGAACCATTTGGGAATGCTGAGTTCAGCTGGCATGGTCTGTGTAGTGACTTGCATGGAGAGTGTTAAACTCTCTTTAATTTCCAGCCTGAAGTGTCAGTGTCAGTTCAGACTGCTTTTTGGGAATGATACTTGGCACCTGTGGTCCTTTGACCTGTGCCTGGAAGTTACTTTGGAGAGCACCAGTTGGCCTAGGTAGAAAAGTTTTCTGGGAGCTACTGTAGCACCATTGGTGCTGGAGGACCCATGCCCAGAAATGCTCCCTGGCCCTATGTCTGCCCCTTCACACTCAGCCCTGTGTTACAAGGCCAGAGGAGAACATGCCAATTGTCTAGGTGGAGCTCTAGCATGGTGTAAACCAAAGCATTTTGCCTAATAATTGCCTAGTAATGACGTTTGATCTACTGCACTAATTAAAAAATTTAAAAGGACATACAGTTTCGAACTGAAAACCTAAAAGAGGCGATAGATTCTCTGCATTCTTTTTGCAAAATCAGACATTTTACTTTTGAGATGTGAACTGTGTCTAAAAAAAGTTAAACTTCTGCTACATGGTGTGCCTGTCACTTTCTGTTTGCTGACTTCAGCAGCTGTTTGACTTCAGTGCCTTCACCAACACTTAGTCTACAGAAGCTCTGAGCTCAGTGATGTTCAATAGGTTATACCCACCTTGTTGGGTAGGTATACCTACGTGTTCACTGTATTTTTCTATAAAGCATGGGTGCCACTGCTCTAGCTATGTAGAACTGGATAATTCTAGACACTGGAAAAAAAAAAAGTAACTTTCTCCATAAACCATTGTTGCCTCTAAAAAAGTAGTGAGCTTTACTGGATTTAATAAAAATTGTTGCTGAAAGTGAAAAATAAGGATCAGCACTGATGATTTTCTGGTGTTGACAAAACTTTTATGTGAGGAGAGCTACAGGACTTAACCAGAAATAAGCGGTTGTAGATGGAAAGGTGTCCTTGGCTTTTCTGGCTCAACAATTGTTTTTTCCTACATTGTAGATAAACGGATCTGTGAATGTAACCTGTAACAAACTTATGTTGCAAAACTTGAATGCTGAACAGTCGTGGCACCAAGGTGATAGTGATTACACAGAGCCAATAGAAATGATTGCGGTGGTCACTGAGTCACTCACAGGTACATGGATGTGTGATGTTTGAGAGAAAGCCAGAGTAGGTGGTGGTGAAAGAGCTTACTGCTGTGTGGAAGAGCTTGGAGCGCTAGGAAAGCATCATGTGCTGATGTCAGCACAAACCATCCACATGCAAATGTATCATCTGAACTGTTGCTTGCCTAGATATTAAATAGTTTAACCAGCTGTTAATTTGGTTGAATGGAGTTTTACATTAAATGATTTATTAAATAACCAAGAAATATGTTCAGATGGGAGCTTAAATTCAATGACTGAACTCTTTTGATGAGAACAGGCATAAAGAATTGCTAGCATTAGCCTGAATCTTACAAATTTAAGCTGAACCATAAACTTACCTTACTTGCATGTTTGTAAATCACGTTAGTTGATTCTCTGGCCCCATGTTGTCCCCTGTCTAGCCTCTTCTAGACCCACTGATTTGCAAAGGTTTTTTTGTGAGTTTGTGTTCCGCTGCACTTGCGTATTAGAAAAAACAATTTGTACAAAATTTCTATCAGTCCCAGAAACTAGGTTTCATTACAGACTTTCTGTGGAAACCCTGTCAAGGTGAAGTTGGTTGATTTGGGATTAATAAGTTCCTTCCTTGTGTCATTCTGGAGTGGAGCCCTATAGGGTAGGTGTTATTTAGCGTTGTGGGAGGCAGTACCAGTACATGTAGCACCTTTGTACTGATGCGTAGCTGGAAGGATGAAGAGCGAGAGGAGTGGAAATGATGAAAAATATGATTGAATTATTTATAAATCATGGACAGTAAATCATATTGCTACTAACGTAATGTGTATACTAAATGTATATTGTCTAAACATATACAATTATTCAACAGGAATTTCCCAAAATTCAAGTACCATCATATTTCCGAAACAAAGTGATTATTTTATTGAATTTCTGGACTACTCTAGAGTTATAAAACCTTCTCTGAACTTCATAGCTACTGTAAGTTCTTTTCTTTTATTATAATCTGTGCATAAACAAATATGACATCTCCTGTATTTTTGCTTAGATGACAAAGTTTGCCTTGGATTTTTAAGCGTAATTTACAGATTTTTTTTCAAATTACCTCTTTTTCATGACACATATCAGCAAATACTAAACTTAAAGGCATTTGCTCTAAAAAAGTATAAACTGGCAGGGAATGCTGTGGTATTGGCAGGATATATTTGAGTATAGTTTGTTGGCATTCTTATAGAAGAGAAATTTTTTCAGTTTCTAGCTGATTCTTTTCTGTTCAGTAAGTGTGCTTTAAAACAACAAAGTAGTTATTGAGTTCCAATCCTCCTAATAGTATTTGCATATCTAAGTATATATATATAGATACAAATATGTACTTTGTATAATGCGTATATATATATGCAAGGGACCCCTGGTGGCCTAGTGGTTAGCGTGCAGGACTTTCACTGCTGCGACCACGGGTTCGATTCCCAGTCCCTCCCGGGCAGATGGAACCCGTTAGCCCTGTGTGGCCATCCATCTATGAGAAGGACACTCTAAACAAACCTACGTCCTGAGGACCTCACTGCCATTGTCCAAGCTTGCTTGGCCCCGGCAGATGAACCTTAGGATTAAAGGGTGGGCTCAGTTCAGCGCAGGCTGTGTCTCACCTAAAAAATCCATTGCGCAGGCTGGAAAGGTAAAAGACCTTTCCCCAAATCTTCGTTCGCGAAGATGGGCCATTATTTATTATATATATATGCAAGCTGCTGTTACAAAATTCAGTGAAACTCATCAAACCACATTGCTCTCAAGTGAAAGTGTTGTTTTTGCCTTCTGTCCTATCTTTCTCATACCTGTTGCAGTCCACTCAAAGAAGTAGTTATTCTTCATGCTGTTCATAGTCCGCATTAAGTATTTCTACATTTTGCAGAGGTTGCGTATTGCACCACTGCATTTTTCTTGAAAAGGGAATCAACTTCACAATTCCTGAGCCTTTGCTCTATAGACCTAAATACCAATAAAATAGGCTGAATATACACATTCAGAGTAGCTTGGCTCAAGCTATAGCTTCATGCTAGCCTGATCGTTTGGGCTTTTGTTTTTCGTCCATTTTATTTTCCTTGCCAGCATTCCATTTTGACTCCTGCTCTGACCTGTTTTTTCCTCCTCTCCTAAAGATGAGCTGAGTGAGAAGTAGCTGAGACATTTAGCAATGCTTACAGCTGGTAGAAAGGAAGGTATCAGTTATGCTTCCAGAGGACCATGAAGGAAAAACTGCTGCTGTTACTAAAAAGTAGAGATCTGCATATCTGTGCAGAGAGAGAGGATAAGAAAATAATGATGGGGAGGAGAAGTAATGCAGTGGCAGATCTATGGATTGAAAAAGAAAAGAGAAGCATTAGTTCAGTGCTTTTAAATACAGAAGTTGATTTTTTGGAGTATATAATGCAGAATAAGAATGTTTTTAGAGTGGATGAGGATCTGCTTGTGTGTGGGGATTAAAGTTGATGTAAATTGTAAGAAATTGCAGACTGTCAGTTTTGGGCCTTGTTTCAGTCTTTTCTTCAACTCACTTGATGAATCCATAAACACATCTGACTCAGCACCATCCCTGCTCATCCAACTCATTTTCCTGCATGGGATGTGAGGCTGTCCTTTCTTGTGATGGTGAAATACAAGTGACAAAATTAAATAGTCAGACTGCATAATTTACCTGAGACACAATCATTTTCAACAAGAAGAGTATTTGGAAGAGCTGAAAGTCAGGTCACCTTTCAGTTCTATCTGCTTTTCTTTTTCTCTTTTTTAACTCCCTGGAGTTATGAATCATTTTGTTCTTGGCTGACTTGCCTACCTGTAGTGCTTAAAAGGGATAAAAAATAAGGTTACTTCTGTGCAGTTTTGGTCACTGCAATATAAGAAAGATATTAAGCTACTGGGGAGTGTCCAAAGGAAGGCAACAGAGATGGTGAAAGGCCTTGAAAGGAAGCCGTATGAGGAGTGACTGAGGGAATCACTTGGTCTGTTCAGCCTGGAGGAGACTGAGGGGAGACCTCATTGCAGTCTACAACTTCCTTGTGAGGGCAAGAGGAGGAGCAGGCACTGATCTCTTCCCTGTGGTGACCAGAGACAGGACCTGAGGGAATGGCCTGAAGTTGTGTCAGGGGAGATTTAGGTTGGATATTTGAAAAAATTCTTTACCCAGAGGGTGGCTGGGCTCTGGAACAGGCTCCCCAGGTGAGTGGTCACAGCACTAAGCCTGACAGAGTTCAAGAAGCATTGGGACAATACTCTCAGGCCCCTGGTGTGACTCTTGGGGATGGTCCTGTGCAGGGTTAAGGATTGGACTTGATGATCCTTGTGGGTTTCTTCCAACTCAGCATATTCTGTAATTCTGTGAGAGAAATCTGAGGATGCCTTTGTTTTCTTAATATGAAATGAATGCAAATATATTGTTAAATGTTGTGTTGTGCATTTTAGCTTTTCCCTGTTCAGTGAGTGTTTTCTTTCTTTTTGTTTTTAGCTAAAGGTGTCACGTTCTGATAGCAACCAGCTTACAGCTGAAGAGAGACAAAATTTTGTAACAGTCACTGCACAACAGTCAGATCTGCTTTTTCACCACTCTTCACTTTCTCACCTTGAAAATGAGGCAACAGAGGAAAGAAATTTGACAGTCCATGTCCTGAATTACACAGTCCCAGAAAATGGAATAATTGATATTGAGTTTCCAATCCTGTATGATACAAAAACTCTGAGAGTTCAGGTATTGCTTTGCCATATGTGGCTTTGGAGCATTGACGCATCGAATTAAGCAGCCTTTGATCAATGATATGCTGTTCCTACCATCTACAACAGCTGACATGTCACCTGTTATTATTTTTGTTACCTCATATTTATGTTACAACAGGAAAGTGACAGATCCTGTCAAATGGGATCTAATAATTGCACCAAGATATCAAGGGAAAAACCAAAACAGATACCTAAAGCAAGCAGTAAAGTGATTCTGTACAGCCACTAAGACTACCATGTAAAGAGTATGTGAACATCACACAGATTTTGCTGTTTTGTTGAGAGCTGTTTTTGCACTGTCTCATAGGCAGAGTTCCTCAGCAGTAGGACGGACATAGGTGTTTATGATGTGTTCAGCTCCCCCAGCCAGACTTACCTCCAGGTTAAAACAAAGAGCCAGGATATAAAGGTACAGTCTGAGACAAAACTTGCCAAGATAAGAACCGTTCAAGTTATTCATCATGTTTCCATACTCATGCATGTGAATTGTATGTTTTTCCTAGGTTGGGAAGCCTTTTGAACTGAGCGTTGCAAGCAACAAGCCAGTGAGAGAGTTCCACTATCTGGTAAGTCACTTGGTTTACATACGGGCACAGTCCAAGATGACTTTTACCATCCTGAGAAATACTCCAGTGAGGGGAATGTGATTAAACATTGGAGATATTCAGCATTTTTTATTGTGCTTTGTGAAAGAGGTGGCCCAAAAACTTCCTTTCCACTAGGATGCTCCTTTTTGAAAGAGAGCTCCATTTTGCTACCTAGGAGGAATTCCTGTGGCACTGTAAGGAGATATTCTTTGGGAAAAGTGCGTCTCCGATTTGGGCGTTGGGTTATCTTTGCTTGCAGATGTGAGAAAACTGTAAGAGCAATACTATCTCTGACTGTTTAAAGCATCTACAATGGGGGAAGGGACAGGGATTTCCCAGGAGCAGCCCAAGTTGAGGCTTTTTCAGCAGGTCTTGCAGATGCAGGTGGAAACAGGGGTGTGGCGGAGTCTGTTCAGGACTGTCAGGGTTGAACCTGTGGGTACAGGGTGAGAAGACCTGCCTGCTGAGGAAGCAGATGGTCCATTGAGCAGGGTGGCATTGTTAACATGGAAATTTCATAGAAGCATTTTAAAATAAATGTCTTGGGTAGTGGCTTGTTTAGTTGCTGAGCTGCTCTACTGTATCTAGCAGCATCTGAATTGAAGGATTCATTAAATATACCATCACCAGTCTCCCATCCTGTCTTTAACATGTGCCTTTTTTGTTCACAGTCTACACCATAGTGATCGTGATAGCTACTATCCTTTTTCTTTCAGAGACTTTAACAGTAAACTGAATAAGGAAAACCATATAAAATTCAGGCATTCATATGTATTTCCTAAAATAGAAACACCCTCTAGAAGATTCAAAATAAATCAGGTCCATGAATCAAAGGCAGGGAACCTCCTTTCATGGCTCTGTCTTCATTAATAAGTGCTATGATCCAGTAGAAACATATTTAGAGTGAAAAAATTGATGCTGTGGACCTGAACTCACAGTATTTTGAGGTACCTTTGGACTAGCTCTAATCTGTTATGGTAAAATGAATGTCTTCTTTTAACTGGTGCACATTACTGGGCCCCAGTTCACACTCTCTGTGGTTCAAGCCAAAGTGTTCTAGGTAGGGGTGTTTTGGAGGTTTGCTTTTAAAACTATATGCCTGAACCAAACTCAAATGCTTTTATAGAAGACCCACATGAACCAACCCTACTACAGTTGTATTTTGTGTTCTCGTAGCATATTTGTGCATTCGTTATTGTTCATTACTTGTGCATAGTGATACAGGAATTAAAGCACAAAAAAAATCTTTTACTAATATTTAAATGTTACATTACCTATGTGTTCCATGCCCATTTTTACAGAACTGGCCAACCACCTAGTGAAAAAAACCAAAAACAACACTGCTATATGTCTCTTCTTTTAACAGCTACTTGTAGAAGGAATTGCTGAGCTTATGACATTGAGATACCAATAGACTGATTTTTTTTTTCTTTTCAGGTATTATCTAAGGAACAAATTATGGGTTTTGGCACGAAGTCTGCAAAAACATTTACTTTAACAGCAGAAAATTCCTGGGCTCCTTTGGCATCTATACTTGTATTCTATGTTGATGAGCTTGGAGTAGTTGTAAATGATGCTCTCACTGTCCCCATCCAGCCTGTTTTGGATGACAAGGTAACTACATTGAACTTGAATCTGAGGCTGTGGTTTTGTTTCATGGTAAACAGTGTTTTAGATCATAGGATTATAAATGGAAAAACTTTATCACTGCAGACCTAATCTGAGGCTTGTACAAGTCCTTGGAAAGACTTCTGGTAATACTGGTGCAGTTAGAGTCCAGCTATTGCCTATTTGAAAGAAATTTCTACTAGAACTGTGTTTTCCATGTAATCAGACGCATGGCATCTCCCCGTGCTTTTAATAGTTTGGTCAATTACTGAGCCAAAGATTGCTCGGCAAAAGTACTCCTGAGTGCTTGAAATGTGGAATTGCAAATGTTTATAAAGAGCTTGTTCTAGCCAGGCAGTGGTCACACTGTAGGTGGATGTGATCAGTGTTTGTTTCATTTGACTGCGCATACTTTAGCTCAAAACAACTTTAAGAGGAGTGGGAAAACTCCTGTTGCATCAAGGAATTGATTTTTTTCTAGTGTAGCAGGATGAGAGTTGGTCCATTGTGCAAATAAAAGCATCACTATAACTTTTTGCAGGTAAGACCACCCAAAGGCCATCAACAGGTTCAAATTCTTTCTCTCCTATGGAAACTTTAACACAACCAGATATCAGTAAAGAGGCTGTTTGTCCTGCTGCATGAAAAATGTCTCCATGTGCCTCATGATTTATCCAAACTTTCAAAAGTCCTAGGAAAAGGACTCTCAAAGGTTCAGAGTTCCTAAGAAAAGCAAATCCAGAGTCTTAATTATAGCCAAATAATCTAAAAAAATACTTCCTTGGGATTGTTAATGGTTGTAAATATCACTGTATAATTTAAATCAGTGCTGTTTTTAACTTTTTTTTTAGATTAAAATCTCTTGGAGCAAAGATAAGGTCAAGCCATCCGAGAAAGTCTCCCTTAAAATCAGTACAACAGAACCAGGATCAGTAATTGGACTTGCAGTTGTTGATAAAAGTACAAAGCTTCTAGGAGAAAGTAGTGACCTAACAGAAGATGCTGTAAGTACATAGGAAATTAAAGGTTTTCATTATTATGTGTATGAAAGATGTATGCTTATGGAAATGTTACAAATTATATGCTGAACAAATAATGTTCATTGGGCAGGATTTTCAGTATGTAATCTTGCAAATATTTTTTACTTCCACAAGTCATCATCATCACGGCTAGGCTTCGCGAACGAAGATTTGGGAAAGGCTCTATCCACATTTGTTACAAGCACGCTGGTGGCTAATAAGGCCAAACTTCTGCAAGTAACATGAGCAGAAAAGACTGTAAGGCGTACATGGTTATAGGCACAGCATTTCCAATACCAGTTAATATTTTGTTGTTCTTCCATCTGATAACCTGCTCAGTTAAGTCTTGACGGTTTCTTTCAGGAAAGACAAAGAAGTCAGAAAAAAACCCTAATGATTTGTGCTTTGTGCACTTCAAAATTAGTAACATAAAATAAAGAATTTTATTCTTTGAAGAGCAGAATAAATTACTCACATTTTTGAATTCCCTTTACTTGCTCTGGTATATAACCATTGCAGCTTAGTTCTCTTCATCCTGTCACAGATTGTTTTCTCTTTGATACGAGAGCTAAGTAAGCTACAGCTTGTGGTACAGCTCCTATGAAATAGCATCTACAACAGTGAAAGTTTTGAAAAATGTGAGTTTGCATTCACTCTGAATGATTTTTTTGTTGTTGTTGTTTTTCTTTTTTTGTTTGTTTGTTTTAGGTCCTCCATGAGCTCAATTTATACAGCACAGTGCAGTATTTTCCCCTGGTCAGAGGTTCTTTTGGTGTATTTCAGGTACTTTATTTTTTAACATTATAAGCAGTCTTTTTTTAACTGCTTAGTGATTTGCACATCACTTACTAGAAGAAAATGTACTTTTTTTAAGTTTGGAACTGTAGACGGTGTACTGTTTTCATAGCTTATATGGGTTTTGAATTGTGAAATTTATCAATATGTAAATACTCTGAATGCAAGTAAATATGTTTATACTTCCATAAATACAGATTGCTTTATGCTTGACAGAATCTTCCCTTTGAAAAGTTTTCAGTCATTCAGATTCATATGATCTCTGTTTTATTAGTTCCTGTATATTACTTGCTTTGGCTCTATGATTACTTTATGACTTTATTTACATAGAAAGAAAGAAAAGAAAATAGATAAGCACTGTTGATGTCCTGAATGTCCTGTACTGAGATATACTGTATAAATTTTATCCAGAAATGCAGCCTTTGGGTATCAACTGATGCAATTCTTGAGGAAGATAAGGAACATTTTCTTTGTAAGTAATAAAATAAATGTATTCAAATCTAATTTTCTGAGTGGGAAGGAGATACATGGGTTGGGGCTCCTATTATGTTTTACTGTACTGCATACAGGCTACATCCAGCCTTGCAAACGATTACCGATTCAAAAGTTCAAGACTTACAAATGCATACAATTAGTTTTTTAAAAACTTCCTTTTTGTTGCTGTCCTGAGTGACACTAGCCCTTAAAGGCTTGAGGGTGAATGGAGTTTTTATTTGCAGTTGCAGTTGATATATTTTGCAAAAGTATAGTCAAATTGCACCAGTTTCATAACCACTCCAGAAGGAGTGTAGAAATTTAAGTGTGCGTGAAACTTTTTTTATTCTTAAAAAAGAAAAAGACAAACAAAACCCCAAGAAAAGAAATGTCCTAGTGCCAGAGTAGTCTTATCATATATAACAAAGCTATAGATTATACTCCGAACACCGTCTTAATTTGAATTTTCTTAACTGCATTAATTTGGTTTTTCTAAATATAGGTATTTGTAGGTAGGACAGTGTTTTTTATTTTGTAGATGGTGGAATGATACCCATAGAAGATGGTTTTGGTGATGATATGCCAGTATCTAAAAATGGACCTCCTGATTTCAGCAATCTCTATGTGAGGACACATTTTCCAGAGACTTGGCTTTGGATCGACACTAAAACTAGGTATAAGATTAGAAGCAAATGGAAACTGATTTGCATTTGCCATTGTTATTTTGTAGGTTTTACTAGCATTCTGCACTGGCGCTGAAAAACGCTGCTTAACGATGCAGTAGTATTTATATTCTGCTACCACCTAGAGGCCTCAAGTGAGATTGGAGACCCAAAAAATGAGGTGTGCAACTGCACAAAAGAGGACTATGCCTGACTGAAGGCCTAGGAGTTTCAATAGAACTAGATAAAAATCCCCAAGACAAAAGAAACTCTCTTGCTTTTACAGATGGGGAGATAATGAATAGGGAGACCCAGCCTTTTTCTCTACAGTGCATAAGAAGATGGTGATTAACCCAGAAAGGGAAATCTGTTGCTGTCGGCACGTAATTCCATGAGCAGTTCAAACTGTTAAATGATGGTGAAATCTGACCTGTGTTATGAAGCATAAATCTTGTATTCTTCTACAGCTGAGAAGTTCCAGAAGCAACCATCATCTGGGCTTGTTTAGAGGATCTGTGAAAACGGATTACGTGTAATGTGATTCAGTGTAATTACCTTCAATTAATGTAATTTAAAATAATTTAAATTTTGTAAATAATTTTGCTCTCATCCCAGTATTTCTAAATGATTAGAAAATGAAAAACAGATAATGAGCAGCTTTTCCTGCCAGGAATTTGGACTTAATTTTTCATGCATTTTAAAAATACGTATCCGCTTACTGATGTCTGTAAATGGATAGTTTTGAAAGTCTGCTCTCCCCTTCTGCCATCAGATCTGACACAGAAACCACAATGGAAGTCATTGTACCTGATACCATCACATCCTGGGTTGCCAGTGCTTTTGTGATGTCTGAAAACAGTGGGCTTGGAGTGACAACTGCTCCAGTGGAGGTATTAAAGTGCTACGCAATTTGTCTTTGAGGCTGTAACATTGTAGGTTGTTACTGGCAGCTGTATTTTAGGTCTAACATCAGCCATCTCCTTATAATAATGAAGAGATTTAGAGGCCGCGTGTATTCAAACTATAAAGGAAAGAAGACATATGTGATACTGTATCTGCCTTCCCTTCCTGCTCATATAAATCCACACAGATATTTGGATACTTGTTTCCATTTGAGCAATTGTTTTGTTAGAGTACTTACAGGATGTGCCCACTTCGGAATCTTTGTATGCAGAAAGGGGCAATGACTGCCTGAGGACAGTGTTCCATGCTTTCTGCCCAGAGTGTGTTCCATGAGCTGATAAGGCATACAATGAGGTTTGCACAGAGTGGCTGGGATGGGACAGGCACTTCGTCTGCTGCTCTGCTAACACTTACCCCAGGAGGGAGAATGGGAGAATTGCTCAAAGACTAAATTGCTTTTGTTTATCTGTCAAAACCAGTCTTGGAGTAAACATGGATGCAACCTGCTCTAGGTAAACCTGCTTTAGCAGGGTATTGGACTAGGTGCTATCCAGATATCCCTTCCAACTCAACCATTTTGAGATTCTGTCATAGGTGCTAAATTTTGGGTGTCTTAGCTTGAGGAGCAGAGTGGACACTGAGAGGTAGCCATGGGATGAGATGCTTCTTGCTGCCAAATTCCTGTCTCCTGAGGCTCTTTTTGTGCTTCCAAGTGTCCAAAGAGTTTAGCAATTTAAGCTAAATTCAGCACTCCTCAGATTAGGTCTCTAATCTGGGATTCCCAGTGCAGTACAGGTGCAGTTGTCCTAGGCTCACACTGTGTTCAAGGAAATCACTTGTTTAAAATAGGAATTAATTTTTGAAGTCTCATTTAGCTAGTCTTTTATATACCATGAATAACCTTCTGAAAGTAGTTATCTCTCTCCATTCTCCAATTAAGTACCTAAGTTCAGAAAGGTTGAGAGTGCAGTACTGGGTCATAGATTTCCATCTTGATGCCTGGACTGGCACAAGCATAGCTTGGAGACAGCCATTTACCCATTTTAAGTTCTCATGCCCTCAAATTCTTGGGGAAGGGTGACTTTTGAGATCCAAAATGAGATCTAGATCCAGATTTTGTAGTTGGCTGCTATACCAGACACAGAACATGTGCTTTGAACATCCTGATTTAACTCCACCACAGAATTTGGAGCCTGATCTGGATTTTGAGGTTAAGTCTCCTTTGAGACTGGAATCATGATTCTTGTTTCTTTCACTTGGCTTGGCAGAGATGGGAAAGAAAGAAAAATAGTTTTCTGGTTTAAACTGTATTGAAATACACACTTGGCCTCTCATCCTCACATCTGAGAAGGCCGCAAGTAGAACAGATGTAGAGATTATTATTTAGCTATAATCACCCACATGCACTGTTCAGTACGTCACCCTTGATGGGATGTTTAGATTGAGCTTAGAGTTCCACATGGCCAAAACATGTTAATCAGTACCATACAGAGAGTCAAAAAAAAGAAATACATGGAAAGTGCAATGGGGAAATAAATAAGTGATATGTGCATCTTGGGCTTTTCTGACTTCTATACAGAATGTTGATAATTTTACTCAGTTGTATTTTATTGTAATATACTGGAATATTCCGGAGTGTAAAATTTTAGTTTTAAAGAAAAGTAAAACAAAAAAGACAAAGAAAATAGGTACATAGGGAAAACCTTGACTAGGAACTAATCAAAAAATCTCCATCAGAACTTCTCTAGAGTCTAATATCTAGTGAAGTTTTTGACACTGAGAGCTTTAGCAAACAAGTTTTCTTTAAAAAAAACACATTGGAATATATACTAGCTAGAAAAGAAAAACTGAGGGGTTTTTGGATCTGAAACTCAAAACACTTGGAAGAATTTCTTTAATGAAAACCAAATTAAAACCATTTTTAGTTGCCATTTCAGTAATAAAGGATTTCATGTCTCAGCCATTCTTACTGTACAGATGTTCACAAACAGTGAAATTTTGATCCCATTCAACTTGATGAGAGCTTACCACTGACTTTTTAGAGCCAAGATTTCTTCCAAAACCCTCTGTTCACAGATAAAAGTAACTGCTTGATGGTATATTTCTGCAGTTTTTCTTTTAATTAAGAAAATATATATTTTTAGAAATATAACTAAAGAACTTATGGCAAGGTTAATGTTAAAAAGTAAAAAATCATTCTAAGGTGTTGTTGAATTATAAAATTTGGGAGAGTTAGTTATTTTGTATTGCAACATGCCTTTCTCTATTGACATAAAGACAGGGCAACTGACAGAGTCTTAATCATTCATTACTTATGCACTTAAAACAATTCACATTTACCTTAATGGAATCTCAGGACAGATCACAACTTCCAAACTTGCCAGGTGAGAGACTCTTAGTCCTAATTCAGTTGCCTTTGTTGAGACCTTGCCCTGGCAAAGCTGTCAGCAGCTCTCATCTGAATGGTGCCTCTGAGTTTCCACAAAGGTGCTAATGACCAGAAGCCTCTTTGCCTTCTGTTTCAACCCTTTAGTCAGCTGTAGACTACAAGTAAACATACTCTGTCATCTGAATTTAAAAGTGATCAGAAGATATGTTGTATAGTAATTTTCTTGCTAGCATCTGATTGTTGGGGCTCAGTGCTGATTTTGTTTTGCAGCTAGAAGCTTTTCAACCTTTTTTCATTTTCCTGAACCTTCCATACTCCATCATCAGAGGAGAGCAGTTCATTTTGGAAGTGAACATCTTTAATTATTTGAAAGAAGAAGCTGAGGTAAAAAACAGTCTCTTTATCTTTGAATGTTACTAGATACTGCAGGGTTTTCATCAGTGGTAGAGACCAGGTCTTTTGTGAGAACTAGAGTATTTTCTTTAGTGGACAGACCATAAAGCTGTTTCTCTATACATAAAACAGGTGGCAGTTTATGAAAGCAGCTTTTCAAAATTAACACTTTGTATTGCAAATATTACTGTATTTACAGGTTACTGTGATCCTGGATATGAATGATGCTTTTGAAATTATTCTAACATCAAATGAAATAAATGCTACAGAAAATCGACAGTCTATATCTGTACCAAGTGAAGATGGCAAAACTGTTCAATTCCCAATCAAGCCGAAACAGCTGGGAGAGATTCCCATCAAAGTGACAGCAATATCATCTGCTGCTTCTGATGCTATCATTCAGAAAGTTTTAGTAAAGGTAAACAGTCTTCAGCTTGGCTTGTTCCTGAAATAAATTGTTCCTTAAAATAGGCAACAGAGTGCAGCAAAAAGGCAAACCAATTTACTTGTCTGCCTCTTGCTCTGTGAGGTTGGTTTGGGTCAGGTGGCTTTAAGTAGAAAACACGTTTTAAAATAATTTCTCCTTTAAAATTCTTCAGATCCCCTTCCAGGAATTGACACATAGATCTGTTCTACAACACATATTTAGTCCAGTGCTTCTGAAAGCAAGGTGAAACCTATTTGTGCATCAGTGAACGCCTGGTGCTACAGCTAGCTTAATAATCTGTGGAGAGTGGACCTAGTAACTGTGTTATGGATAAATACCATCAGTTTTGCCTTACACTTGGCTTTTGTTCAAAGCCTATTTTATATGGACATTTCTGTATTTTGCTACTGGTGCTGGATTTTTAGCCTCCAAGCTTTCTGATAAACCAGAAACTGATCAGACTTGCTTAACTTAGGATGTTTAAGTCTAATTCATGTTAGGCTCCATTTCAGTGGAAGGTAGTTCACATTTTTACATCTCATCCTAGAACGAATGCTTAAGATCATAGAATCAGAAAATGGTTGGGGTTGGAAGAGAGTAGTCCAACCTTCCTGCTCAGGGCAGGATCAACTACAGCATGATATTCAGAATCCTGTACAGTCAGGTTTTTAATATCCCCAAGAACAGTGCCTTCACAGCCTCTCTGGGCAGCTTATTCTAGTGTTTTAACACTGTCACAGTTTAAAAAATATTTTTTTATGTGTAAGAGGAAATCCCTTTATTTCATGTGCATTGCCTCCTTTCTACTACTGGGCACCACTAAGAAGAGCCTGGCTTCATCTTCTTTACACCCTCCCATCGGGTATTGATACACATTGATCAGGTATTGATACACATTGATCAGGTATTTATACACATTGATGAGATCCCTCTGATCAGTCTTCTCCAGATTGAACAGAGGCAGCTGTCTCAGTCTCTCCTTAGACTACTTAAAACTACTTCCCTGTAGGGTTGTGAGCTGTTTTCAGGTAGAGCCACTTACTGCCCTTTCTGTTGAAGTTCAGTTGTTGTGCAGAAGAGAATAAGAGTCCAGTACACCATTTATTTTCTGTACTTCAAGGACAATTTTTCTCAAGGGATTTTGCATCCATGAGGAAATGAAACCTTTATGGACATGTACCTAACTTCAGTTTAAGTCCTTCTTGTATGACAAGCTGTAGGACTGTAGAGAACATGAAAGGTATCACCTCCAGTCTTACCTGTGCCTTGGCATGGAGCTCACTGGAATCAGAGATGCTCTCACTGACTGCAGGTGTATTTTTGTAATTGCTGCATGGGCTTGAAATGCAAATAGTGGAGGTGGGTCTTTATGAGAAAAACATCTCTGTGTCAGTTTGGCTGGGCCAGTAGCTCAGGTTCTTGATATGTTAGTGATGCCTTAAGCCCCTAATCTTTTTTTTAATTTTCTAATTTTGTAAGCCCTATAAGTTTTATAAGTAATAGAAGTAGATTTTAGAAACCCTTTCTCCCTCCTCCCCGTAGTATCCCTTAGTTTATACATTCTTTAATCCTTTCACCCCATTCCATACTCCATATATCAACCCTATTCCCATATTCAGCAGATGATGTTTAGTCTCTTAGTCAAGGCAAACCTGTCTTGTTTGGAGAACGCTTATATCTTGGCCTAAACCGCAGGACAGAGTCAAAGAACTGGGTCACCCTGCTCTCTGTACGCTGAAGATGAAGAAGATGATGAAGAGGGGGTCCCAAAAAGCACCCCAGACCCAATTTCGAGAGGCGGGCCAGGGGGTGGACCAGGCCAAAAGTTATAGGGTGGACACACTTAGGGTTGGCCAAATATTGTTATAAATGTAACATCCCGGGCACAGCCCAGCGCGTGCGTCGTAACATCTATTGCCTTGGCATAATTAAACCCTTTCTTATCTCACCCCAGCTAAATGGCTCCTAGATTTTTTTCGTAGCACCAGCTCAGCAGGCATCATTAGCAAGCAGCCCAAAACACCTGACAGTGTTTTAGATCCTTCAGTACAGTAAGCACAGAACTTCTGTCCTAAAAGCAATAAACTGATTGAGATTACAATAATCCTGTCTTTATCTTGATAGGCTGAAGGACTGGAACAGACATATTCTCAGACAGTTCTTTTGGATTTGACTGGGAATAAGCGACAATCAGTGTCAAAAGCTTTGGATTTCACTTTTCCTTCTGACGTTGTAAGTGACAGTGAGAGAGTACAGATCACTGCTGTTGGTAAGAATTACCTTATTCTGTTTCCATCTTTAGGGAATGGCATTAATTTTTATTTAATTGAAGTATTAATAGGTTGAATCATTAATTCAAAGGAATTTACCATCATGCATTAGACTAAACTTAGGAAGATATTATGGATGGACTGTTTTATTCCTTTATTTCATTTATGATATTGTGGTGTTTGTATGGTATTTTCATAATTAGAGAGTTGGATTTTAATCAGGGGAGGTCCTGCCAAGTTTGCTAGTATCCTGTTTGCTACTATCTGCAGAATAAAACCTATAACCTGACTGATAATTGTTTCCTGTGACACTTGGGCTTTGATAACTGTAGGTGAATTTGAAATTACTCTGTGGTTGGAAAGGTCTGTAGGGATCTGGGTCAGTGGGCATAAAGTCGATGAGAAGAGGAAGTATCTTTTGTGCCTGTTTAGTGGTGTTAAGTAGAAACATTCCTAATATATCATATCTTCTCCCAACATAGATTTCACTACCCTTTATGTGTGAGATATGCATTTATTTGCAATAAGCTTTAATTAATTTTGATTAAATTTTATCTTTCAGGTGATTTACTTGGGCCTTCTATCAACGGTTTGTCATCATTGATTAAGATGCCTTATGGCTGCGGTGAACAGAATATGATCAACTTTGCTCCGAATGTTTATGTTTTGCAATACCTGACTAAAACCAGGCAGCTGAGAGAGGATATTAGATCAAAAGCTGTATCATTTATGAGAAAAGGTCTGTATGAGAAAAAGAAAGATGGTAGATTTCTAAGAACTCTTACTAGTAGAAAGGTATCTGTGACTGCATTTAATGTTTGAAACATCGCTCTTTTGGTGAGATGAGAACTGAAAGAAAAGCCCACTTTTTCTTTCTTTTCCTCTTTTTTCTGGGCTGACAGAAGTAGACAGCAAATTTTTTTGTTTACAAGGGCACGTTTGCTCACAAAAAGCCATGTTTTTATGTAATTGCTTTTTTTTCCAGATTTCCTAGATGGTGGTTATTTCTCATTTGATAAAACCACATGTGAGCAAACATTTCTGACCACTGCCTGAGGCACAGAGGTTGAAAATTAGTCAGTGAGCAGAGTGAACTGTATTCATCCTGTGTATCTGTCTTCAGTGACACCATCCTGATCCTGACATGTCCTTGTAGAGCTCAAAGAGTGGCGTTTGCTCTGGTGGCTGACTTTGGTCCCCCAATGTTTTGCTCAGAAGTGCACTCTGTGCTAGAAGTCAAAAGCTGGAAAAATGTAGTTGGGAACTGTTGTGTATTTTAATCGGGAGATACTCCAGGGCATCACAAAGTATGGAGAACATAGTTGTACTGTGCTTCTCTGTGCCTTTTTGGATCAGACAGCATCCAACTGTGATGCACCACACTCACCACCTGTCAGTCTCCACGCTGGGAGCCTCGTTCACAGAGAGCAATGAGACCATCCCCATGTGAGCTACACCCCTACTAAGGCATCGTGATGACAATTTCAGTTTTTATTTACTCTCTGCAAGTATTTTTTGTTTGATTTTTTTAAAAAGTTGTTGACATTTCCCTTGGAAAAGGCACAGCAAAAAATAAATTTTCCTTTCATCAAGATTCCAATTTTCTGTCAAAGCAGTTAAATGATTTTTTTTTAACCCTTTAAAAATATTTTTAAAATCCTTCCTACTACATGGTTTAGTTGAAAAGTACATTAGGAAGGAAGAGATTTTGTACACAGCTACTCTGAAGTTTGTAAGCAATCTATCACTCTTTTAAGCTTTAGCTTTAGTACCATAACTTTCTGAAGTTTTCCAATAGCCGATTTATTAAAGCTGTTTCAAAGCAAGTCAAAATTATAGTTTTAAATGTCACTTAGATACAAAGTGTTGTGTTACTTAACTTCTTCCTGAGGCTTTGGATTGATGTACATGTTTTTTAACACCATAATAGCCAAACCAGCAAGTCTGCTGAAATATTTGTAACCTTAAGATAGAAAGGAACCACAGTCTGAAAAATACTGTGATGGGATTTTTTTTGTTTTGTTTTGGTTTTGCTTTATTTTAACAATTTATTTCAGTTGTTGCACTGACTTTTTTAAAGTGTAATCTTGAAGTTGAAATTTATCTTTAGTCTAAGATGTAATTTTTCTAAACTCAGTTTTTCAAAGGATTGTCATGAAGTTTAATTTAAAACAGACTTTTTCACATGTCATAATTCACCAAGTATTTGAAAAAGTGACTTCAGAATCTGTAGTAAATGTAATTAATTTTAAGGCTAAATGCTTATGAGAGGAAGGGATCATATAGCTAGAAGAGACTGCTATATGGTCTTATAGGAGTTTTATTTACCTAGAACAAAGGCAAAGCCAGAGAAAAGTTGCCTTTCAAACATGTTTCTTTAATTGTGGTAATGACAGGTCTCATCTTTAAATCACTTCTTCTGAAATGAAAAAATTCCTGGTTGATCTGAAAACTTTTTTATTAGACCCAGAAAAATAACGGGTTTGAGCGGTATTTCCAAGCTGTTTGAAATGTGAGACCCTTTAGTCTTTCAAATATTTCTGAAGTCCTTTCCATCCTGATGCAGTCCTCTTTCAGTCTTACTCAGTGAGCCTCCTGCATCTCCTGGGTTCCAGCTAGTCCTCTGGGAGTACTAGTGTACATCTTCATAATAGGATCCTTCTTTTCCTTGCCTTTCCACTTGTATGTGTTGACATTTGAAGTATCATTTTTCATGTCTGATGGAGTGTCCGTTGGAACGAACGCGGTGGTTCATAGGCTCCAGGTCTCCCATTCTAGCGTTTCTGCAGGCTTCCCCATGTTGGATATGCTCATGTTTAGAGACTTTTGCGTGACTGCAATGGGGTTGGCATTGAGACAAAAGTACACAGACTGTAGGAAATAGCTGAATGATCTCTCTGTCCTCCCTCTGGTTCTGATCTTTCTGGTCCCTCCCAATCTTAAATTCTGGGATAAATTTATCCCCTGTTTGCTCCTCAGCGGTCTTAGTTAAGCAGGGTGTTGGTCTTAATTTAGTGCTTTTACACTACTAGGGGGGTGGTGATTATAATACTTATTGCTGACCAGTTTTGCAAAGAAGCAGAAGACCTTGTTTTCAGGCCTTGTAGTCAGACATTTCTGAAGAGGAAGCAATCTATTTGTATATATACATAAATTTGTGCTCCTCATAGAACATTATTTTGATGCTTAAATTTTGACAGTGACTTTTGTGTTCCTTGGTGAGAAATGCCACTCATTCCTTCTTTTTTTTCCTTCCATTTAAGAGGATACTCAATATCATTAACTGAGATGACAGGTATGTCTGTATGGGAACGATCCACCAGTTTTAGTCATTTAATTAGCCACTGTAATGCTAAATACATTACAACCCCCCCTATATTTAAGTGAAAATTTTAATTGCAAACTCTTCTAAAGAGTCAAAAGCTAAATTTGATGCTACTGAGATTACATGGGAGAGTGCCCAAGTATACTGTAGCAGTTCAGATTCATGTCTCTATATCTCTATATCTCTGTCTCTTCTGTTACAGAGAGACCATGACTAGGATTTCATTTTACACTGAAACTGAGATTGAGGGACCAAATCATTTGTTCCTTAGTGATTAAGGCCATGATTCACTCACTGTGTACCTGTAGTCACAATAGTGTGTAAATGGGTGATTAATCCTCTATCGGTGAAAGCAAGGAACATTTTACAGGGGAACAGTTGTAGCTGGATGCACCTCACGGGACGTAATCACAAATTCGTTCATGTAGGACTTACTGATGTTGCCTGAGAGTTTTCTTTCTGCCTGTCTGATTCTGTGTTGTGTCTATGTCTATCATGTTTTAGACTGATGAATATACTTTCCTAATTATAATAGCTAAAATAGCAAAGCCAAGGGAAAACATGAGGTGTGGGGGAAAGAAGAAAAGATGTCATGTGAAATGCTATAAATAGATATCATTATTGTTCCACATACACAAGTGGCAGGCAAAATGTAATGGAAAAAGGCTTTAGATATCAGAAGCTACAATAAGTAATTTCTAGCGTTAATGAACATTGATTTTGTACTGAAGTCAGCTATTGAGTAAGGATGCTGCTGGTGGCTTTGAGCAGCTGGTGAGCCCTTGAAGCCCTTTTATAATGGATGCCCCATAGTCAGGAGAAGGCTGCACTTATTCTGGATACTGAAAAATCTTGGGATACATTTTAAATGCTTGCTTCTCAGGATTTCAGGATCTTCAGGTCTTTTGGCATTTTTCACTCATTTCAGAACAACCTTTCCCAGCATGCTTTTTCTGATAGCTTGTCATTTGATTGGCAAAAGCCAGCTGCTGAAAGGGTCTAGTTTTCAGCAGCATATGTAGCCTTGCCCTTCCAGTTGGAAAATACTTAATTTTTGCTTGCCCTTCATTTTGCTGGAAAGATAGAGCATTTCTGTAGGTGTACAACTCCAGCTCCCCAGAGTGATGAAGCACTGAACTCTAGCTGCTACTCTGCTCTGCTCTCCCTGGAACAACTATGTTGGGAGCATGTCTCTCTGCACCACTGTCATGTTTGGGTGGCAGATGAGGAGCAGCAGGAGTTTATGGTTCTGCTTTTGTAGATGGATCCTTTGTGATATTGCTGCCCACTTTCTCACCATCTTCTACATGGCTTTTTGTGTTCCTGTATATTTGGGAACTTTTTTAGGAAATACAAGCTTAAGTTCTGCCCTTCTCAGCCTTAGAAAGTGCCTTGCTTCACATCAGCAGTTTGTGCTGGAAACCGCATGAGTGTTCAATACCAGTCTCTACTTTTCCACTTCAGGCTACCAAAGAGAGCTGCTTTTCCAGAGGGATGATGGCTCTTTTAGTGCCTTTGGAAATGAAGATCCCTCTGGGAGCACATGGTAAGTAGTTCTGCCAGAATCACTGTGGAATTTTAGTATTTCGGATATTTTCCCTGTGTCTCAAAATTTTTTGTGAAGCTGGTAAAAATTTCCAGCTGTACTAGCCTTCTGCCTGGTTTTCATTAGGTGTTTAGGCCAACTCTAAACTCTTTCTTGCTGGGTAACATACTGTCAAAGCCATTATTAGTGTAAGGCTTTTTAATTTTGCAAAAAAATGACTGATGAATTATTTTAACCATGGGAATAGTTTGGTCTGATAGTTCTTCTGTTGCTTTCCTGAAAGGAATGAAGAATAACAATTAAGTTACCTATTCTTACAGCTGACAGGAACCATTTAGGGCTATGTGATCATCACTGCTTCAAATAGATTTTCAGTTATCTCCATACAGGAAGCTGAAGACTGAGTGAGACATTTCCTAGGGGGTGAATAGAGTTAGTAGTGATAAAAATTTGTCCTACTTACCTCTCTCACACTTCCTTTTATTGAGACTGTAAAAACAGCTGAAAAAGTCTTTTGAGTGCTGAGTTTTGCTCCAAGAAGCATGGAGAGCCTAGTCGTGGAAGCTAGATAGATAATGGAGACAAGTTCCAGCACTTTGTTCAGCTAACTCATGTCCAGTTAGTTTAAATATATATTTCAGTACATGCTTCGGACTTCAAATAGAACCATCCTCAGCCACTGACTGAAACACTGCTTCTGGAGTCACTGGGCGTCTTTCATTGACATCAGAGGGATTTGTCTTCAACTCAGTATAGATGGATTGGAAAATGAAGATAATTCATCTGTACCAGCAACTCTAGTGCTTAAACAGTGCGGTGACAGGTTACATGAATGCACATTTGGAAAGAAGGGAGTCGAAGGATAACTTGAAATTATTAAAATAAAACAACAAAGATTGTTTCAAGGCTATAATTACAGGGATAATGGTGGTAATCAATATCACACTCATAACTGCATTACTTTGTAAACTATAATATTTGCCTAGCAGCAGAAGGCAGGAGAGCAACATTTAAATAAAGATATACATGTGCTGGCAGACTTGGATTTTTGACACATAGCAGCTGCAGAAGGAGTGATCTTTAGGAACAAGAGCATATCTTCATTTTTGGTGGATTAAACTTAGTCTACTTGCTTATCTGGGTGAGGCATATATTTTTCTCTGTTTGGGAGGTGTGTGTAGAACACCTTATGCTTTACGGTATTCTTACATCATCTTAAACTGTAATAAAGCTGTAATACGTGGCTAATTTTGTCATATTTGGTTAACCTTTTCCCCAAGGTTATCAGCTTTTGTATTAAGATGTTTCCTTCAAGCTCGTCCGTTCATAGATATTGATGAAGATGTGCTCATGGATACAGCTAAATGGATTGTCCGTCATCAGAAATTAAATGGAGAGTTTCATGAGCCTGGGAAAGTGTTACACAGTGATCTTCAAGGAGGCACCAATAATCCAATTACTCTCACAGCTTACATCATGTCATCCCTCCTAGGGTTCCCAGATAAACAGGTATTGGAATTCATAAATATAATTCATAATTACAGGAACAATTCATAAATTGTTGTAGTACCTAGGAAACACTTGGTAGTTTAAATACATAGAGGGATACGTGAACAGAGACAAAATGTAACCTTACTTTGTTAAACATCCCTTACCTACCCAAAGCAATGCAAAATTGTGCTGTTAAGCCCCTCAATTTTATGTGTCTTTGCAAAATCTAAAGGCAGTTATCAAGGCTTTTAGCAAGAATATTGCCATGGCTTTAGTGCAAGAACTTGCAAAGATATTTTTTATGGGGGGAACTAGTCTTAGAGATGTTAAGTCATTCCAGTTGATTTCATTGAAATTACTCATGTTCATAAAAGATGGTGCCAGATCAAAAGGCTTGCTTTTGAGGTTTGTGTCTATGACTCTGAAAGAGATTTCTTGGTGGTTGTTTGGTGCTAGTAATTTTTCTGTTTCTGTACAAATTTTCTTTTACATTTAAGTGTTTCAATATATATTTTATTCACATTCTTCAACATGATCTTCATTTCCAGCATGCTTATGCCATCAAGACTGCTACAAACTTTCTAGAAGATAAATTAGAAGAAGGTATTTCAGATAATTACACTTTGGCACTTGTGACGTATGCATTGTCCTGGGCAAAAAGTACAAAAGCAAAGGAAGCACTGAATATGCTGAACGAGAGAGCAGAACACCAAGGTATTACACAGCTATCTTACACAGTTCTATAGATGGATTTTTGTCAAATTTAAAAATACCTATCATATATTGACAGCTGCCTATAGAATTCAAGTCTGTTTTGAGTTTGATATAGAGAATAAGCTAAGAAGTTCCAAGACAGTGGTAATGAAAAGTGTCCGTAAATGAATGACAACTCACAACAAAGCTTTCAGTCTCAGTTACCGTGTTCCTGATAGGAGAACCATGATGCTGTTGAAGAACATGACTTGTCAGTTTTCCTGTGTTATTATGCACACTTGTAAGATCAGCCCAGTTAAAGAGAGATAGTTGGATGAAAATAGCTATTCCAAACTGGTTTGGAGAGATCAGGAGGGTATTGGGGGGCAATTAGTTAGAATCAGTATTGAAATGGAGGTAAAGTATTGAACTTTCTGTAAGGCAGTACAGAGGTCTGTTGCACTTTCTCTGGGCACCCACCATCTCATTCTGTTTAACCTCTTTCAAGTTTAGCACAGCTGAATTTATTTTCCTCGTTTTGGGGAAGAATAGACTATATTGAGTATAAGAAATGAAAATTTTTGTCTCAGAGTAGTAACTCTCCTCTTGAAAAATTCAAAGGAATTAATGTTGTAGCCTGGTAACGGAGCCTCTTGAGCATCCCTCTGTTTACTGAGTTAGACCTTTTGGACAGTCACTTTTGGGAAGAGAAGAAGTCACTCTTTTGGGAAGGCTTCACTCAAGAACGAGTCTAGTGAGCAGCTCTGCTGCCTGAGGTGCCTTCTCTGGTCCTGAAGAGAAAGGAGCACTTGAACAACAAGGTGGGGTTTTCACTAGGGCTCTTTTATGTGAGTACTTTAGGCTGACAATGAAAGGATCAATGTAAAGTTCACTGAAATCAATGGGAGTGACTATTTGGACTCCATCTTTTTTTGTATATGGATTTAGGTACTGCTGAGGAAGTGCTTAAGTCAGTCCTTTATGGGACATACGCCTAAACATTAACAAAATTTCATGCAACCTTGCTAAATCCCATATGTAAGCATTACTGAAGAGGATTCCCCTAAGTCTTTCGCAGAAATCCTAAGACTTCAATCTGTGAATCTGAGATTATTATTGGTTCTTTTTGCAGGTGAATTTCGTTTCTGGATAACACCTGCTTCTGAAATTTCTGACTCATGGCAGCCACGGTCCATTGATATTGAACTTGCAGCATATGCTCTGCTCTCTCACTTTCATCAAGACAGATTAGCAGAGGGGATCCCTATTATGAAATGGTTAAGTCATCAAAGAAATCACCTTGGGGGATTTTCATCTACTCAGGTAATATCTTGCCGTAAGGGGCTTTGTTATACTTTTCTAAACAAGCAGTGCATATTAAAAAGAAAAAAAAAGGAAGAGAAAAAAAGGACTATTTTTTACATAATAATTACTGAATTTTGTTTTACTGTAACAGCCTTGGTTATGTACAGGCTTGCATTCTTTGTGATATTGGAATCTTAAACCTGGACTGCCGGTTTTAGTACTTTGGGCAAGTCTAAGAAAAAGAGAATCAGAGGGAGACCTTGTTATATAAAATATTAATAACGAAACAAATTAAGAAGCAGTGATACCCATAGAAAAGTATTCAAACGTATTTTCCAAATAATATAATAAATATCCATGCTTACTTTCTTTCCAAGGAGAGAAACCTCTTTCTATTCTTTCCATGTTCAGGTCCTCAAAATCCTGAAACTAAGCCTTTAACTAAGGGGAGTAGGTTTTAGAGAAACAGCCTAGCCTAGTGCCTCTGTTGGCAGTTGGTCCTAACTCAGTAATTTACTTTGTCCTCATTATTGTGCAGATTTTTGATGGGCTGTGAAATTTGGAAGATCTTCATTATCTCCAGGAGGTTTCCATGTTATTGAAGCCACATCTTGTAAGCGATGCTGGCACCCAAAAGAATTAGATAGTACTTTGGATTGCATTAGTTTAAACTAGCTTTTAAATTAGCTACAAATGCTGGTCACAGTGAAATGTCACATTTCATCACGCTGCTTAGTACCAAGCTGTATAGGCTATCCTTCTTTATTTTCAAAAGTTTGTTGGTATTAATCTGAGAGAAATGAGTTCTACTAAGTAAAATGCAATTTAAGAACTAGCCTGGTTCCCCTGAGGTATTAGCATTTTCCTGATGTGTTAATTCTTGCTTATTATTTGAAGAGGTTGTTTGAGGCACTGAATGAGTTGAAAAAGCTTTTCTGTCTTCTCTGGAAACAGTTTTTTTTTCTGGAAAGTTTGAAAATTCAGCAATGTACCATTTACCCCTGAGACCGAAATAAAGAATTTAATTTAATCCTTTTGTTCTTCCATAGTCTAAACTGTTTTGATTTCAAAATTACTCTAGTGTCTCACTAGATACTTTTTTAAATTTGTAGAAATGACCCCATAGTTTTTTGTCAACTTCTAAGATTACGTTAAAAAATATCCTTCTATGAATTTATTACATTAGAAACTTAATATATTGTTAAACAATAAGGAGTAAAGTAATCAGTTGCATGTGTGATGCTTTGTAAGTTAGAATATGATAATTCACTAGAATTTGTATCCATGATATATCTTACTATGAATTTGTAGCCAGTATATTTTGCTTTATAATGCCTTTAATGTTTGGGCACAAATGTACATATTTCATATATACAGATGAATACAATTAATACAAAAAATAGCACATACATGAATGTTGATTTAAATGATAGGGAGAAGTAACAAATTCTACAAAGCCTGTGTTGCTGGGCAAGAGGGGCCTCTGAGTCTGACTTGAAACCATATTCCCTAACTTTTCAGGTTGTGTATTGTCATGCTGAGCTGTGCACCTTGTACTTCAGCTGTGAGTGTTGCCTGGTGAAGAGCCTTGGGTATGCCTTCTGCTTTAGAGCAGCCAAGGAGAATATTTATCTTCTCTGTAGGTAGTTTGTAGCCCTACAGATTTCCAGGTGTGTTGCTGAGAGTCATTTGAGTCTAGGATGTGGAAGAGCTCTAAAGTCACCTTCAGTGATGGCAGATAGCATTTCTAGATATCTCGAACTCTCTCTGAATTTAGTGCAAGAAATATAAATGAAAAAAATATAATTGTAAAGACTTGGAAAAAGTGCTTCAAGGTATTTCTTGGTTTCTGAAACTTAGGTAAAGGCAGGTATATTTCTGCTTTTGAATGATTAAAAACATAATCTCCAACAAGATCTTATAACTTCCTAGATCTATAATATAGAGATAATATAGAGATATATATCAGAGATATATTCTTGTTTGTTTTTTTGTTCACTATTGGTGTAGTGTGTAATTCTGACTGTTGTGTCTATCAGCTTGTCAAGTCTTCCGGATACCTTGCACAAGAGGAAAACTTTCTTAGCTGGCTCATTTTTCATAGCATAACAGAGCAGCTAACTTCTCATCCTGTGTTGCCATCTCTCTTCTGTACTGGGCCTTCATGCCACAGCAATCCCAACAGAGATGTGGAGATGGCTGCATGAATACTCCAGCATAATCAATAAATGGGTTGATACAGGGACCACAAGCTCCCCAAGGCATGGCCTTTACACTGCACAGGCTTCTTCTATTTAATACCAAAGGATTTGTTTCTCTCAACAGGACACAGTGGTGGCTCTGCAAGCCTTGAGTCTATTTGCAGCTCTCACTACTGCAGGCAAAACAGAAATGGATATAACAGTGACAGCACCTTCTTTGGAAATACCAGAAACATTTTCAATTGATACTCAAAACCGTTTTCTGCTTCAGAGCAAGGAGGTACTGTAGAAAATGAGGAATGCTTTTGTAAAGTCTGCTGACTGAAAGTACTTTGAAAATACTGGTTTACTCATCTTTCTTTCAGATTGCCCCTGCACAATCAATGACACTTACAGTGTCAGCAGAAGGAATGGGATTTGCTGTCTTTCAGGTATGCAATGCAGTTATTCTTGCTAAAGATATGCTCTCTTTAAGGAAAGTATAGTTTGGAAGCTTTATAAAACGTGTTACTAGGAACAATCTCCTGAAATATCTTAAATCAGTACCAAAGCACTTTACTAATTGAGGAATTCTGTGAACCAAATATTGTGAATGGACGTATTCATGTGATTGTTTCTGACTGATGGCCTGGCCTTTTAAGTACTGCTGGCTGACTGACAGTTTTGGGGCACTTCCATGGGCCGGGGCCATTAAAACATCTTTACTTATATTTAAACAAATTAAACTGAGATCAGTGCATACTGTATTTAGAATTAACAAACCATAAATAGCCTTTTCAGCTGCCTGCTCTTCTCTCATATCAGAGATTAGGTTTTGAAGAAATTTCTTCTCTAAGATTTTCCCTTATTTATGAGAAATACCATATCAGAAGAAGACAGTATTGCATCCATCTTGATATGGTGACTAGTGGGTCTCACTTCCCTGCTGCCCTGTCCATGATAATTGGTTAGAACCACACAGGTGAAAGAGAAGGCCTTTGAAAGGCTACAAATAATGCAGAAATATTAATCTCTGAGCATGAGAGACTCATTTTATTGGAAGTATATAAACTCATACTTGCAACTGTATTGCAAAACCAGACAGAATTCCTACTAGACTCCTTCTAGTCATACTTGGGAAAACTGAACTAAGGCTGCCTTTAATCTTCTCAAAGTTTTATGCCAGGTCAGATTCCATCTCAAGTTCCTTCCAACCTGACCTTCACATTAGTGTTCTTATGCATCTGGGAAACAAAAAAGTCTGGTGATGGTTGGTAAATATGCTTTGGGATAAAAGACCTTTTCAAAGAAACCTTCACAGCTGCCTATCATCAATGATACACCTCATTCATTCACCACCAGTCTGCAAAACCCACAGGGCAGTAAATCATGACCTGTGTTTATTAATTCCCAGAAGTACAAACAAAGTTTACAGCAAAGTTGAAAAGTTTCAGAGGATAATTTAGTTTCAGTCTTGCATGCCAAGATAGGACTGAACATCTCAGCAGGACTGCGTTCACATGTCTGTGGTTTCAGTGTGTGTGTGTTCGTATGGAATGTAACAAAGGGGGGCTCCAGAACAGTTAAGAGTACTTGATCTTAAATCATTATTGAGAAATGCTCCCTGATATAAAGTCAACTAATTTGTCAGACGAGCTGACCAAAAACTTTTCAGCAAATTGTTTCTTGCTGGAAGAAACTGATTTGTTGAAATTAATACCTTTTATGGAAACACATTGGTTCCAACTATGTTATTGCTAGCAAGAAAATTTAAAATTCAAACCAGCATGCCTGGTGAAGACTGAGCAGAATTCTTCCACCTTGAATAGTCAGTAGCTGACTGTGGTGAGAGGACTCCCTGGGGATGTATAGCACCATGGTTTAAGTTCCTGATTTGTTATATGAACATGGAAATGTGCTCCTGAATAGCTGGTGTTCAGGAACCAAGGCCCAGATTACCTTCTTAATTTAGGTCACTATGCAGTTGCCTCTTTTCCTCAAGCTTTGAGAGATGCTGTGACTTGATTCAAAATATTGTACTTAACACCCCAGAGTAGCTCCTCCAAAACCTTATATTTGCTGAGATCAGTTCTTTCCTTTTGCTTCCTTTAGCAGGTTGGTATTCTAAAAAAAAGAACACTGAGGCCATTGAATGAGATTTCTCTTTTTCCCAGACACAAGCTATATCTGGGTCGAATTTAATAGATCAGATAGCATATGACATTGCAATCACATTTCTTCAGCTGGGTTTCATTGTCTTAGGCATGCCAGAGTACAGTGGTAACCATCACTGTTCTGGGATTTTACTTTCTAGCCAAATGTAGCATGTCAAAACAGTAATTCATTTAAATATCACAAAGCACAAGATTAAATGCATTGATAGAAATGTCTGCTTTCCCAACAGAATGGATTCTAAGGGGAAAAACCTTATTTTTTTGGTGAAATCTTACTGCCTGTGTGTGCAAATTGGTAGTGCATTAACTCTTGACCCTGCAGGATCTCATTAATGTATGTATTTTTGATATTTTAATTTCAAAAGCAGACATTTACTTGTAGCTTTGTGGTCCTGCTGTCAACAAAGTTTCCTAGCTCATTTCTTCATTATGTGGGCATATACCATGGATGACACTGACTCTGCAAGAGGGAAGAGAGGATGGGTTAGGGTATATAGAGTCTGTAGGTGGCCTGCTGAAAGTCTTGAAAGAAACACCTCTCTGCTCTCTGGAATCACTGTGAACTTGACACATGCCTCAAAAAATTGGCATGGCCCATGCCTTCTGGAAGGAAAGAGAATGCCACTGAAATCCAGGACTAGCAACAAGGGGAGGGTGGGCAGGCTCAATGAGGATGGGTATGAGCAAAGTGGATAGGTGAACAAGATCTGCTCAATCTCTCCTGATCATGTATAGAGAGGGAGTGAGGAAAAAACTTGAGAATCCCCTGTTACTCATTACTGAAAAGCACTGACCATTTTTTCCACTCAGTACGTTTTTACTAGACTTGGGCAAGGGACTAAATGTTGTTTAGTGTGATGGTACTGAAAAAAGTACACGATGTACACATATTTATCCATTACAATTTGAATGGATACTAAGGACTCAAAAAGGGACAGAAGAATATTGGAGATGATTTCATTGAACTCGTGCCCTCAGTCAAGTTCATTTGTGCTGCTAGTTGAAGAAGAAAAAGGATAGGGCAAGAGGCAGTGTTTAGGGCACTATAAATGTGTCATATTTTTTGAAGCATAGTGCAGTTAATATTGTCAGCTACTGTTATGAGTATCACTCTCATGCAGAAGACTAGCTTTTAGTTTCTCTTCTTAGGCCTCTCAGCAGAACTGACTGCAGTATGACAAGACTGGACCAGTTCTGCCTTTAGGTTCAGCAGTTGCTCTTAAAAGAGTTAAGAAATGCAATTGCTCATTTTGTTGATTTAATGTTAGTTTCTGTATAACTGCCTTCTGTCCCCAAAGTAAGAGTGTATAAAGAAGAAGGCTTTAATTAAACTCTTCATTGTGAAAACCTTTTCCTTCATTGTCATGAGAAATCAGGAAAGGAAAGTCAGACCATAACAGCGATAACTTATTCCTGTTCAGTATGTGACTTCAGACATCCTGCATTGGCAGTAAATTCCCATTCATTAGCTTTTTCTGGCAAAAGTTAAAACAGCTTTGTTTCTATGATGACAGATTTTTGAGGCACTGCCAGCTTGTCTTTACCAAACTTTTTGCGTGCCTTTAACTGGCAGGCTTTCTAGATTGGCTTCATCCTTGGTACTGCCTTCTCCTGTGGAGCAGTTGTACATGATAAATCTTCACCATTGTGCCATGGTTGTCCTGAATGCCTGTACAGAATTGGCTCTGTACTCACACAGCATGCTAAATTCAGCAGTGTGGGCAGGGTAACAGGAATTGTGTGTGTAGATTGAAAAAAAGAACATAACTTTCATATCAAGGAGTGAGAGACAGCAGCAAAAGCAAAAATCAGAAATTAAAGACTCCTCTGTTTGCAAAGACCTGCTTGCCTATAACTGACTTGGTAACCTATAACTTGGATAACCACCTGTCATAGTTTTAAAATTGGACTGACAGTTCCATTTGCTGGCTGAAACTGTTGTAGAGGGACTGTAATTTTTCAAAAGCACTCTTCCTTCCATTTTTTTTTAGCAAAACAAAATGCATTTGGGGTCTTACAAGGGGAGTTATTTGAGCCACTTTCAGCTTATTTTTCTACCAAAATCAAAGAATCAAAAATCACCCTGCTATGTGTTTTATATGGATGACTGAGGGAAAAGATAATGATTGTTGTCATGGCAGTCCAGTGCAGTTCCCACTGACTGGAAAAGGGGAAATATAACACCCATTTTTAAAACAGGAAAAAACTGTGGAACTACAGGCCAGTCAGTCTTGCTTTGGTGCCTGGCAAGATCATGGAGCAGATCCTCCTGGAAACTATGCTAAGGCACATTGGAAATAAGGCAGTGATTGGTGACAACCAACATGGCTTTACTAAGGGCTAACTGTGCCTGACAAATTTTTAGGCCTTCTGTGACAGGTTGACAGCATTGGTGGATGAGGGTGTCTGAGCAACAGACCTCATCTACCTGGACTTGTGCAAAGGATTTTACACTATCTTGCACATCCTTATCTCTAAACTGGAGAAAAATGGATTTGACAGGTAGACCACTCAGTGGGTAAGGAATTGGCACTGGACATCCTGTCACACTTCCTTACTTGTCTTGCTTAGCAGAGCTTGGCAGTTTGCTAAGCAGAAATGGTGAGAGCTCCGTCCTTGAGGTAGACCAAATCTGTAGCTTTGTCTTTGTACAGATGAACCAAATGAAATTATTTAACTGCAAGAAAGCTGTGGTGTTCTGAGTTTGGAGTAATGTGCTATTCCTCATCTGTTTTGGGTGTATCAATGCAGTGACATGAAGACTGAAGACATATTCTGTACATGCGCTATGTATTTGTTCATGCTCTGCTTTTATATACAACCTGCCTCTTCTAACCCAGTCTCTGACGAACACCCTTTATTCATCCCAGTTCACACTGTCAGGAAGCAACTGCACACGATATAAACCAGCTACTAGGGAGAAAATTGTTGGTTGTCCTAGAGCTCCCTTGTGTTTGCCTCAGTTGTGTCCTCCTAATTGCATTGGTTCTGCTGCATTACGAAGTGTTCAGAAAGGATATTTCTTTCTGAGAATTCCTATGGATCTCATGTATGCAGGTGTCAGATGTACAAGTCCATGTGCAACTGTGCAAGTCCATGTATCTTGTCACATGGGAACACTCCTCTGGCATTATATTGTTAGAAACTTCGTGTTTTAACCACACTGGTTTACCTTACATATGTCATCTAATGTCTGTACTTGTAATCCGCAGCTCAATGTTATGTACAACACAAAACACACTGATCAGAGGCTCCGATATGTCCAAAAGCAAGAAGCCTTTGACTTGAATGTTGATGTAAAGGATGACAAAGATGATAAAAACCATTTGACCTTGAATGTGTGCACAAGGTAGGTAAATCAATTGGAGCATCTCATAGACAGCTTTGTCTATACAGCTTTTAGATTATTTTAAATGAACTAAATTATCCATTTGTTTGTGTGAATTTACTAATATATAGGATATAAATGTATCAATAAAGAGCATAAAAATTGCTTTGTAAAACTGGCAGTAGTTAAGAAGCAACTTGTAAGTCAATTTTTGCTGGCCAGGTGATATTTTTTTTTTTACTGGTAAGTGTAAAGATGCTGGTGCCTTAAATATTAAGTATATGTGGAAAAGTCTGTGTGAAATATGAGAAAAAACTCAGAGACTTCTTTGGTGCAAGTGCTTCTGAGCTATATGGAAGACTGTGCGTGGACTTGAAAATTGAACCAATGTCTTCCATATTCTGACTTCTAGTAGCAAACCATGACAATGACCCATTACTCTTACCTTTCATAAAGAGAATCCTTTGCTTTTGATCCAGAATTAGATACTTGGCTCAGAACAATTTTGGAAGGAGTCAAAATCTGTATTTACATGATGGTAAATTCAACTGTGGATTTGCATTATTGTGCAAGTAACTTTGTGGTCTTTCATTTACCAATAGTTATGAATTTGGTAATAGAATACAATGTAAGGATTATTGTAGGTTTGAAACAGGTGATGAGTTTTCCAGCCAGGCTGATTCTGTTCTTTCTGCTGAATAAGGGGGAGGAGGATGAGGGATGTGGGGCTGTGTGTGTGCATCTGGGATGATGTTTCTTGTTCGGTAATCACCTACTAAGAACTGAGCTGAGACTGCTTAAGTATCATCTCAGAGACCACAGAACAGCCACCAGATGTTACCTGAATAGAATTTGGATCAGATGAGAACAGGTGACATTGAACAGTCATATTGCATATTCCTAGGTCAGCCAGTCATTAAACCAAGTTGCTTCTTTGATGGCTTTGTGCCTCAATTTAACTTGCTTTATACATATATTTAAAAGGAATACGTGAAGGTATTTGTCCTCTGACTGTTTCTTCAGTATGCATTTCCTCTTGTAGTTAAAGACCACTGAATATTTCATAGAAAACCCTATATGACATTGTATCTCTCTCTATATTTATGTTTTTTTAATCTTCTATCTTTTATTATCTACAAGGATGTTGTTGAAATGATTACATTCTTTGTATTTAAGGATTTAATCTGTTTGTGAATACTTCCTCTAGAAACAGTGTTTTCTCCTTGTGATGTTATAATGGGTTCTTTGTAAATGCAAGATTTGCAAAATACTACCTGATCCACCATGCGTACTCTGACATTCCTTTCATCCACACCCTCTTTTTGCTGTTTATTTGAACTTTGAACTACTTTTATGCTCTGATTACCATAAGGGAACTGTGACTAGAGATGGAGCCTGTAGGTGATACCATCATACAAATAATCAGCTATAGAGAATATAATTTCGGTACGGAGAATTGATTTAATTTGGGAAGTAGCCAGCAGGCATAAAGCCAGAGCTCTGTTTTTATCTGTCTGTGGTATCCAGTTCAGTGACACGGATGGTGGGCAGAGACACTAGAATACATGAGAGCTCTCGAAATAGAATGGGCTTGTTCTCTTTTAAAACTTTCTATGGAGTGTCAACAGCATTCTAAAGTCTAGCACAAACTCCTGACATGTAAAGGGCTTATATGCTGGGTCTGGAGTAAGTTTTTGGAGCAATCGGACTTTCTAAGACCTTTGCTTCAAAAATACAGACAAGAAGTGCTCTGTCTCTCCAGGAAGGCTCTAGGAGGATGACAATGCTCTAATTATAAAGTGTTCAAAGGATAGCGGGAAATCTAGTGACATTAAAAAAAACTTCCTCAAGAGACTATTTGGAACATTGTGATCCATCAGCTCTTATCATGGAAAGTGGACCGGTATAACTTCTAGTAAGTCTGTTTCTATTCCTTAGGCTAAGACTTCATCTCTGGTTGCTCAACTTGATGGATGAGCCATTATCCTTTTCTACTTTTTTTCCCTATAAATTGTATCTAATATATGCCTTATTTATATTACTGAATTAGTTTAAAGTTGGTCTACTTATAATCTTTACAACATGATGTGGCTTTCTAATAGAGAAACCAAAGGAGGGAAATACAGAAAGATTGCTGAAATATCAACCAGTGGGTATGCATAGTCTAGCTGTTAATATACATCATTAGATACTGGAGGTTGCAACTTCACAGTTTTTTAATTTCTCTAATCTGCAGAATATCCACCTTCTTTCAACCAGCTTGATAGTGGTTGGCCGTGGTTGTCTCCACGGGGTATCACTTATGACTCTGGAGCAGATGCTGTCTCACTCAAATTGAAGTGGTTCTTAGTTAGAGGAGCTAACTCACTGTCTGGGAAGCAAATACCTAGGGGTGCCTATTCCTTTGCAGTCTTATTGCCTGCATACCCTTTCCAGATATGAGAAGCTGATCACTGATGACTCTACTTACTCTCTTGTTTCTGCTTTCTGCCTGCACTAGCTTGGTGTTGTTTTCTCCTCTTTACATCATCTCTGAAAGGGTCTTACCCGTATCTCATATTGCTGAAGAGCTGAAACTAATATTCATCTGGAAACATGCTCAGTTTTCTTCAGGTACAAGCTTCAAGTCTTTCTTAGTGGTCATTCTTGCATGGTCATTTTTTTTCCCTTTTTTAAGAGACCATGGAGTTGAAGAGACCCATACCCAAGGCTGCCTCTCTTCCTTGTTAAGACAGCCAGATCCTCATAACTTATAAGCATATATCTAAGTCACTCCTTGACAGTATCAAGCTGGTTTGGTTGCCTGTTAGTATTTTGGTAGCACCCCACGCTGGCTAGACAACACAGGTGTTTTACTCTCCCCTTATTGGTAATTATGCAGAAATAATTACATCCAGTTCCAATTCAGTTATTTGTTTTCAATAGCAGCTACTTTGGCACAGCACATCATCCAACAGATGGTTTCATTTGTTTCTAATCTTGTGAGCCAACTGAAGTCAGCAGTTGTGCTGTGTTTCTTTCAAAGTTGTGTCTGCATTGAATCAGCCATGCTGTCAGGCTTAACAGCATTACTTTGAAAGCAACCCTTCCCCTCCCTTTTTTTTTTTAATAAGCTATCCAACTCTACAAAGAAATAGTTTAATTACTTTCAGCTACTGTCAGGCTTTCAAAATAAGGATTGGAGACACTTCTATTCTATTGTAACAATAATCATTTACCCTCCTTGCTAAGGCAGGGGAAACTCTTCCGCCACCTACTTTATTTAAAGCAGTACCATCTTTTGCTCCTGTAGCAAGGAGCACCATAAAATTTTTCTACGTGTGTCGTGCACCACGGTAGGTAAGGCTTGCTCCATAGAGCAAACCTTTTTAGTCCAGCATCTGATTTTCACATTGGAAGAAGATGTAATAATAAGCATTATTCAGGAAAAAAGAACTCAACTTATTAAATCTTTGTTTCAAATCTGGGTTAATAACATAGCTATGCATTTTAAAACTGAAACTTTGAGAAATAATCTGATAATGACTTTGTTAATGGAACCATCAATCGCTATGAAGGAAATCTAAAAAGGTTTGGGAGACCTTTTGTTGTATAGTTTCATCTCACCCTCCAAAATGAATAAAGGCAAAACAATGCATTCATAAGAGGAAATATGTGTATTTCAGTACAAGAATTCCTATAGCTTTTCTTAATTGCTTCTTTTGAAGCATGTTTAATTGCAATATTTCCTGTGTATTGTTGATGTAAACCTGCACTTACAGATGTCAAAAGAAAAATCCTCCTGTGTCAGTGTAGTCTCTCATATGATTTATGTACTGTAGTTTTGTCTGTGCTGAACCTGCTTTTGCATATGTGGTTGAAATTAACAGGCAAAATAATTGAGAAATTAAATATTAGCTTGTTATCATTAGAAATTTTCTTGCCAGAGTTTTGTTCCATTTGTTTCCTAAGTATTCTTAAACATTATTACTTCCGTAGTTGAGAGGTAAAGATCCAACACTGTCTTTGGAGAGTGGGCTACTGTATTTCTTCTAAAAGTTTCTTTGTCTCTGTGTTTTGAAAAGGTACTTTGGTTCAGGCACAGCTTCCCGTAGTGGTATGGTCCTCATGGAGGTTGGCTTACTCAGTGGTTTCTCTGTGTCACCAGATTTTGTTCCATTAGACAATACAGTTAAGAAGATGGAAAAAGACAATGGAAAAGTCAACCTATACTTAGACTCTGTAAGTTGAAAATAACAAAAAAATGTGTTTGTAGTGATGTTAATCTTGACTCAGACATTGTTTGGTTTAAATTTGGAAAGACGTTATGATTGTATTCTTTGGGGAAATCAACATCTGCTATTCACATTGAATTAATAGTTCCACTGTTTTTTAGTGAGACTAATTGGATAGGTACCACTCAGTTGTATTTGTAAGGGGTTTCTAAATTAAGTCTCTTAAAAATAATGTATAAGAAGGCAGACATTTCAAGAAGTCTGTAGTTTGACTGAGATGACTGCAAATAAGATAAGCATCTTTATATGCATGCTGACTCCAAGTCTTTAGAGAAGGACTACTGCTGAGCTAAAAGTCCTTACCTCTTCCATGAAACCACCACCAGGGTTCTCAGGATATTTCTCTCCTGTTTTTCTAGCTAAATGCAACACAGGTTTGTGTGGATATTCCATCTACAAGAGACTTCAAAGTGGCAAATATCCAAGATGCTTCAGTGACTGTGGTGGATTACTATGAACCTAGTAAGTGTCAGACATTTCAAACAGGACTTAGTGATTCAGAAGTTTAAAAAAGCGGTTTTTTTATGGAAATAGAATAAATGTTATTGAAGAGAAAGCCACATTAAACTGAAGTTGACTTATTTTCATTAAAGTGCATCCTTTTTGGACATTGACATGCCCAATTTCTTAACCAATAGTGTTTTCCCATATATATATTTATTGTCTTAATGGGTTGGTTCCTCAGCTGGTGTGAGTTGTCATAACTTAGTTGTCAGCTGCTATAAATTGGCTTCAGTTTGACCCAGTGTGTTCCGAAAGTTACCAAAATGAAGCAGGAACTTCACTGTTGTTCACTTGCCAAGTTAAAGATTCTCTCTCAAGTAGCTTTACCATCTGTTTCATGTTCAAACTAAGAATCCTTCACCGAAGAAAATGCCAGTGTTTTGGTTTCTATAGCTATCTAATAAAGATGTATGTTGGAAGAACAGTTTCAAAGTTTTTTGTTTGTCTGTTTGTTTGTTTGTTTTTTGTGTGTAGAGTGTGTGTTTTGGAGAAAGGCAAAGATGTATAAAATTCTTGGGCAAAATGAATAGCAAAGAAAGATTACAAACTGCTGCAGAAGATATGACGTTTTCATTACACCAACCAGTTGGAACATTATTAAGGATTTGGGCTTGTTTTGAGATAAGGCATAAAAAAGTTGTATAGGCAATTTTTTCATGTTAGTTTGTTTTCACAGTACAAAAGACAACCAAATATACTATGATGTGTGCTACTGTAGCTAGGTGAAGATCACATTTATTCTATGTATGCTGAAATGCTTGTTCAATCACAGAATTTTAAAGTAAAATGGGAAATTAGTGGATGTAACTACACAGTCCATTAATGTAGAGCATGTTTTTAGGCCTGATGTGGCTTAAAAAATTACATCAAGTTTTTATTTGAGACAAACACATAACACTTAGCATCCGTGGCCAAAATTAAATTCCACGTACTTCAGTTCCTAGGAGAAGCACTCAGGACCTAATCTATTAGAAAAACACCATTAGATAGGCTAATGAATGTGTGTATTACAAAGTTACATATAAATGCACATGTGAAATATTTTTGTTGTATTTAAAAAACTGTGGTCCATAAATTCTCAGTTAATAAACTAATACAAATTTAACTATATTAATTAATATCTGTGAGGACAAAAACTTGCATGACATAATCAGTGCTGAAATAGAAAGCTTTGACTTCAAGAAAGTTATTTATTTCAAATATTATTTTACAAGATACCATTCTTATTACTATATACCACAGACATATTATTTGTTAACAAATATACATATGTCGTGATTCTGAGTTCTCCTGAGAGAACTCCTTCCTATCTAACACAGGAACGTGCTTTTATTTTAATCTAATTTTCCATCACTGTTGTAGTTGGTGACCCAAGTTGTGGGACTATATTTTATGTGATTAGTGACAGTCAGATTCATGTCATATTCAAAGTTAGGAGATGTCTAAGGAGCTCTCATGCTCTTACATTTATCAAAAAACATGATGTCAGTGTGGCAGTAGTACATCTGTCATGGATATAAGAGCTGGCTTGGATTGCCAGTACAGCAGTATTCTCTTACCTGACAGTTTAGAACTAGTTTGGTTTCACTGTTTGGTAAGCATTTGGGCTCATAAAGCTGTATATTTTATTTTATTTTTTTTAGCATCTTGAGGCTTCAAATGAAACTGAATATAATTTCGGTTTAAAAATACTACTAATAAAAAAAGAAATTGCAAGGTCCCTGGCTGGAATGAAAACCTTCAAAAAAAAAAAACCCCACTAGGGGAAAAAAACTTTGCAAAAGCTTGTTCTATGGGCAATTACCATGCATTGATGTTTTTGAAATGAGTATGATTTTTCAGACTTCTAATCTCTTTGGCTCTGTAGCAACCCTTCAGTGAATGGGAGAGTAAAATACAAGAGCAGGAGCTAGGTCAGGTAAGCAGTCCCAGATTCAGGAAGCTGAAGCTCCCAAATATGATAGAAAGAGAAACTATCAGTAATGAGAGACCTAGCTCTTAAATGTTATAGCAAATAACCTGACAGGGAAAGCATCCAAATTCCTTTGTCATGTAGTTAGGGACAAAATTCCTTTCAAAATGTTTGACTGAGGTTTGTGGACAGATTGGGTCTAACAGTTGAGATTGAGTCTATGAAAGCATGCCTTTCAACAAGCATTTCCCTGAATATATTGATATGTCCTGGGTGAAGAAAAATGATTAATGTCTATGCTTAAATACTAATTCTGGGAAGTATTTTGCGGTGTATGATGAGGTCTGCATCAGGTTTCAGTGCATCCTTTAAAAATGGTTTCTTTGTGAAGCTGGTTTGTTGGTCAGTTCTCAGAAGTTCATTAATTAATGTTAACTAACTTTTTTTAACAGGGAGAAGAGCAGTGAGGAGCTACAACTCAGAAGTAATGCAAAGTATAACCTCTTGTGACTTCTGTGAAAGGGATTGCAGTCTTTGCCACCGAGATGGTTCTCCAGCCTTGCTTCAGCACTCTTCGTTGGCCTCCTTGTTCTGTGTGCTGTTTGTCCTTCATGCAAACTTGCTGTGCAGTTGGGTGCTGTAAAAGGAAACAGATTGTTTCACATCTAAGGTTTCCATAAATTATCCAAAGAAAATTTTATGTTCAGATACCAGCCCATCTTCAGTGATTACTGTGACCAAACTCCTGCTGTGTTCAGGGAGAACTGGGCTGGCCCATATGGTAAATTTCTGGCTGTGCCAGAAAACTTCTTTAAATGTCTGCTGGAAAAACTTTCCAAGTGTTAGTTTCATACTGAAGTTATTTTCTGAAGGAGCACAGAGTTACTGAGAAAGCAGACTAAGAAAAAATAAACTTAGCTCCATATTCCCACTTCGATTTTACCCCAGCTTTCAACTTGTTTGTTAGGGGTGTATGGTAGTTTACTTTGCTTTTCTGAAACACTATCTGCTTCTCCATTGGAGTGTTGATAAGCAGAGCAATGGGAGCTTGGTATCAGAACTCACTTTGTTCTGTTCTGAAGATATGACACTTAATACTGAATTTCACTGTGTGCTCTAATAGGGAGTAATATGAAAAAAAAAGAAGCCAGCTTCAGAGCAGATCCAAGAGCCAAAAAGTGCTGCATTTACAAACTGCTGAATGCTCCAGAAAGTTATCAGTTTCCTTTTTTCTTTGTTTTATCATTACAGAGAAGGTAGGCAGATTTTTTGCCAATTCATAAGCTAATCATGCTTGAAAATAAGGGCTCAGGATGTTCTCATGCATTTTACTCTGGAAGGGTTTTACTGTAAATACATCAAAGATACAGTCTGTGTTACAGACTTCATTTTTCCAGAATTATTCAAAACCAAACCTAATTGTCTTTTCATATGAGAATGCTGGTGTCAGCTGGTGTATATTTATGGCCAACTGGAGTAAGGTTACCTTGAACCTTTTCTGGTTTTGGGAAGTCTTCTAGTAATGTCACTCTGGGGCATCACTTTTGTCTTGCATTTGCAATGTCATCTTGTCAACAATTTAAGGGGGATGACCTCAAACAGCTGTTTACAGCTCTCAGTGCCATGTGAGTTGGTGGCCCTGGATGCCATCTGCGCACCCTGCTGTTGGTTGGTGGAAGAGGCTTTTAGGAGGCATGGACTGCACATGTATTCAGTCCAGCGAAACGACACACAAGCTTGCTTAACTTTAAGTACATCCTTGTATGCTTAAGTGCTTTGCTTAAGTGGGATGGAGGAGAAGGATGGGAAAAAGCAGCAGGCACTTTTACACCTAAACCTGCTTTTCACACGTGGGGAGAATTAAAGATCTGTACGAATGTGCAAATGTGGGCTTCAGAGCTTATTGCTACTGAGTGAGTGTATGAGAGTGTTCCTTGTCTGGCAGCCAATTTATCCTTCTTGAACACTGCCTGTGACATCTAATGCTTATTTCTTTTTAGTAAGAAAGCCAAGCTGATAACACTCATAGTTACTAAAATGAAGTTAATAGCTGTATGCCACCTAAGAGAGGTAGAAATTATGAGGCTATCGATTCCCTTTCTTTCATATCTTTTTGAGACGGAGTGTGTATTTGTGCACATGTAATAATATGGCAGTCACTTTCCTTGAGTAATTTTTATTCAAATTTTGCTGCTGCTTAAAATGTATGGGTTTGTATTTATGCTCATCTATACTGTTGTTCACAACGGAAATTTTGTGTAGTAGCATGGGAAGAGGCCTAAACTTCGTGAACTGGGAGTGCCTTCTAATACTGATGTATAGGGTTTTAACTGCAGAACTAGTTTAGATGGGGTTATTTGTTTTACTTCAGCTATATTTAGAATTTATAATGTTTTTCACAAATTTGGGGTTCTGTTCTGTTTCTCTGGCAGAGCTTAAGCCTGGTTCTTTGCAGTCAGTTCACTCTTTTCACTTGTCCTTGGTGCACTTTGGATCTAGCCCCTTGAATAGTTAAATAGTGCCTTAACAGAGTGCCTGTGCTGCTCTGACCCACATTAAGTAATACTGTATTTATTGAAACTGCTTAGTTAGTAGGATGCATGGTCTGACCCTCTGTAAGCCATGCCCTTGGTTACATGGGTCCAAAGCTACAAGAAACCAAGACACAAACTGAAACACATCTCTGCATCACAAATTCTTTACTCATTTATGGGAGCATAGGTTGAATTGTGCCGAGTGTAAGATTTGGAAAACATGCACTCTCTAAACTGGGATGTGTTTTGCTGTGGGTTTGATTTCTTGGTGCGACATGTCATGTGCCTCTTTTTAATATAAGTTCAAGAATGCAAAGCTCACATACTTTCAGGTTTTACTATATGTAGTGCTTCTAAAAGGGACATTGGTACCTGGTTGATGTTAGGATAAAGAGACTCATTTTCTAGACACAATGTACTGGAGATAAATTACTCCTTTGCAGTAGATAGTAAGAAGAAATTAGTTCTATTTAGCATGTAGTCCCATCTTCCTGATTTCCTTCAAGAAAAACAAATTTAAACTGCTTAGCTGAGTCTCGAACAGTGTAGCTTTTACTGGTATTCCCTTACATTTGTTTTTGAGATAAACAACACATCTTTTTAAATTACTTTTGGCTGCCTTGCACACCATATAAAAAACATCAGTCATAATACACTATATCAGGGAAATTGTTGGAGTCAGAGAAAAAACATCCTCTTTTATTTTACTTTTTTCTATACAGACATCCAAATCTGCCTCTGTACCAAGCTATTTTAAAGGAACAGTGTACGTTGTATGACTTTAAACAAATGTTTGCACCAGGTGGCCTGTAATATTCCTGCATCAGTGCCTTCAATCACTTTGCAGCTGTGGCTGGTGCTTTGAATGAGTTGCAGAGGATAAAATTTGTAATGTGTGTTGGCAGTGAATGGAACAGTGGACAGGGAATATTATGGGGAATAGTGACTTTTCTTTTGTTTTCCTCATCATTTTGGGGAAACTTTGACACAAATGCTCAGTGTGTATATGATCCCCACTGTAATGTCAGTTTTTGATGTTAGGGGGGCCTGTTCCCACTGAAGTTAATAGGAAATCTTTCAGCAAAAAATCTTTTGGAACTCTCTAGCAACAAGGTCTATCAGGAGTGTTAAGGAGTGGTGCTAAAAGCAGTCAGGAAAAGGTGTTTTGTGATGGATGTCGCATTGCATGAACATTTCTGTGTGGTTGCTGTTTCTTTGAAACCTGAGTGTTCTCTGGTGCTATGCTTTTCAGCCACATAGTGTCAATGGATATGATGCGTCCAGGGCCGTTAACACACTATCGAGTCAGTAAGAAATATTCATTTACTTCGTACTGAGTCTAGAAAAAAACAATAGTGCATTTTAAAGAACCCCAAAAAATTCTACCTTTGCTGTCATCCATGATCTTAGTTGAGATTTTATTTGTAGGTTTCAAGACGGGTGTCATCTAGAAATCTTTTATCCAAAATGCTGTTTTTCAGAACAGGGTATGAGCGCTGCCTAACAGCTTTAGAGCACCTCAGCGTCTGCATGCTGGGCCAGCTTGATGGCTGGTTTGGTTCTCAGCATAGCACTGCCGTAAATACATCCAGGGATGGCAACACCACCACTTCCCTGGGCAGCCTGTTCCAATGCTTAACAGTGCTTCTGGTGAAGAAATTTTTCCTAATATCCAAAATAAACCTCCCTGGCACAACTTGTATCAAACACAAGAAGTGCAAGTATTTCCCAGTTTGCTTCCCTACCACATGCTCCCATTTACTTCACAAGCAGGAGCCTGTGGCTTGTGGACATCAATGGCACATGATAAAAGGGAGAATTGGCCAAACTGGTACAGGAGAAACATGAGAGCCAAAGTCCAATGTTCACAGAATCATAGAATGTTAAGGGGTTGGAATGGACTCTAAAGATCATCTAGTCCCAACCCTCCCTGCTGTGGGTAGCAGACCAGGTTGCTCAAGGCCTTATCCAACCTGACCTTGAGCACTGCCAAGGTTAGGGCATCCTCAGCCTCCCTGGGCAACCTGTTCCGGTATCTCACCACTCACACAGTAAAAAATGTCTTCCTAATATCTAACATAAATTTCTCCTCTTTCAGTTTGTACTCATTATTCCTTGTCCTGTCATTAAAATTCCTGATAAAGAATCTCTCCTCTGGCTTCCCTGAAGGCCCCTTTCAGATACTGGAAGGTATCTACGAGCTATGAGGTCTCCATGCAACCTTCTCTTCTCCAGGCTGAACAGCCCCAACTTTCTCAGCCTCTCTTCATGGGGTAGATGCTCCAGTCCTCTTATCAACATCATGGCCCTCCTCTGGACTTGCTCCAACAGTTCTTTGTCCTTCTTATAATATGTGCCTCTCTTTTGTCTTGCAAGTCACTGTTGAAAGTCAAGCCTAAGATGCAAAAATTGGTTTTATTCAGTTTCCAAAATATTATCCTAGCAATATTTCTCCAAAAGTGATGTTCAAGTTGATATGAATATTGAAAATATTTGGTTTAAGTTGATTTGTGTAGAAAGCATATGCATATACAAAACCACTATAGGCTGCAGTGTGCTACGGTGTGCAGTATATGTGCAGTTAAACTCAAGATTTCCACAAAGTGCCCAAACCGACAACATTGTGTGATGTTTGGTTTTTTAAAATACAGTTAGGTTTTTAGGAAAGAATATATTAGAACTAGTGCCTGATGGCATAATTTTGCTATCTCAAACACAGAGTATTCAGTTTTAATTCTAATGAACAATAAAATTTTTTTACAACCTTTCTTCTTCTACCATAAATCTTTATGCAGTGAACCATCTCTTTGTGATTTGAAGATTTTGAAATTAGACATTCTGACTAGTAATTTATGTAAAAAATATAACAGCAGTTATGTCTCCTTTTCCCCATATCAAAATATTTCACTTCCATGTTGTTTGTCGCTTGGTTTATTGTATTTTTGTGTGCCATATGGAAATACCATTGCACTAATGCTATTCTAGGCAATAAAAGCTGACTGTGCTGTATTAGATCAATCCAGTGATTATTTTTCCTATGAATAGCTTGTGTTCAGATGCATACAAGCATTAACTCCTTGCATACTGCTTTTGAGTCACCAGAACTCCAGTGTAAGATTTATCTTTAAAAATCATACATTTTATTTCTATGTTTCTTACTGGTTACCCAAAAACGTCATCAACCTTGCTTAGATTTTATGATCTTATATTACAAACTAGTTTTTTTGTTATGGGTTTTTGTATTGTTAGGTTGTGTGGAGTACTAAATACAAGGAAGGAAATATAAAATTGCTGGCTCAAAGGAATTGTATAAGCAGGTGTAATGTACCATACATTAGCTGTCCCATAGCACATCTCTTCTTTTTCCATATCAGGCCTTAAGCAATTTAAACTAAAATTTTTGGCTGCCTTGAGACATGGTCAGATACCCATTTTGGTGTAGGGTAGGTTCATCATACACATTTCCACTTTTGATCAAATCAGAAATGGTAGAAAAATTATGCTTTTATGAGCTGTTTTGAGCAAACAGAGGTGAATTAACATGCCAGCTATGCAAATCGCTTCTGTCTTTTCAAATAATAAATGCTAAGGAATTAGACTGTTTAAAAGGATTTTGGAAAATTGTAATTGGTTTATTTTCCTCAAATAAAGTTTGCAATAGCTATTTTTAAATTCTATTAAAGATGACTTTTAATAATATATATCTGTTGTTTGCTTGTTTAACAGTACAGCTACTTGTAGTAGATCACAGTTTTTGTACACTGTTAACCACTGCCCATCCTCATCACTTCTTAGGGGCTGTCTTGCCTGTATTTTAAAGCTTACAATTTAATAATAGAAGTAAAATAAAAATAAAATAAAGTGGTACAACAGTGGTTTCCATGGTCAGACTGTGAACAATGAACCCGTGGGTCATTTTTTGCAACTTATAACTAGGGTCACCTCATTTTAAAAGTATATTATTTTGTTGACATGAAGTTATCAGAAGATTTGCTCATATTTATAACAGAGGTAGTATAACTAGTCTTATGTGATGAACTCAGTTTGGGTAGGCCCCTTGTGGTCATGGAGAACCTCAGGAACTATACTGTTTGGTGAACAGGAGCAAATCTTTCAGATACAGAGCTTACTGCTAAGAGAGAAAAGCTCACATGTCGAGATAAAGACACATGGGGCAAGGGCAAAATAGGAGGAAAAAAAAAGAAAAAGCAAGAGATGCAAAAGCATCACTGACCACATTCCACCAGGAGACCAATGTCCATCCAGTCTCTGAACAACAGCTACTTTGGAAAGTATCTCTAGTTTTAATGCTGAGCATGACATTAATATTGTGTGGAACATCCATTTGGTTAGTTTGGATCAACTGTCCCAGCTATGTCCCCTCCAAAACTCTTGCTCACCCCCAGCCTACGTGCTAGGAGGACAGAGTGAGGAACGAAGAAGGCCTGGACACAGCTAAAACATTGGCATGTTATTTACACTATTTTGGTCACAAAGCTGAAATGCAGCACCATATGGGCTACTGTGAAGGAAATTACCTCCAGCACAGTCAAACCAGTGCACCTGCAAACCTCTCCAGCAGATCTCCTTTGCTGTGATTTTACATGCGATAGTGCGTGAGCATTGACAAGCCTTGTGCTCCCATGGATCTGAGCTCTGTTGCAGTGACCAACATCATGCAGTTTCTTGGGTCTTTTCAATGGATCTGTCTATTGTTGTCTCTTCCCTTCTAGTGAGATTTCAACTCTCTTACCATCTAGCTAAAGCCTACTTTTTCCTACATTGGTATAAGTTTGTTGCAATAGGGTCTCTCGTTGTATATTCAAATAATATCTTTTTATGGGGAAAGGCAGTAAGCCTAGGAGTATAAATATGGAAATATTTTGACAGAATTTAAAATACCTCAGTTGTACAAATGAAGAATCCACTGAAGTAAAATTACTGTTTTAGTAGGTTTTTATTGTGGTTTTTTTTTAGTGAAAAAAATCCCATTCTATAATTTGTTTTGCTCTCCTAGAGCTGCCCCTGCAATCCCCAGACCTTGAGAAAATGTACCCATTTCTATATGGCAGCAGATGATAAAAGATACTGAATGTTTCAGTACTGTTTATTCCTTTACTCCTCTTGTATGTGTAACTATTTTAAGAGTGCGGGTTCGTGGGTTTATATTTTTTTGCCCAGTATAAGAAGATAATAAAGCAATACAAATACTCTGCTTCATCTGACTGCCATATGTTTAAGTTGTATGTTCTAATTCTTAACATAT